CTATACGCCTATATTCTCGAAAACGTTCTCGAAAGCGGAAATCGAGTAATTTTCCTCGGAACAAAAAGGTCAGCAAGAAAGGAATGAGTTCTTTATGTCATCCAATGCATATTATATTAGAGAAAAGCCATTATACTAATGGGAATCGTCCCAAGGAAAAGGAAGCGCTTGTTTATAAACATAAAGGAAAACAAAGAAAAGGATGAGAGTGTGAAAAGTGACAGCTTTCTTAAAAATTAGGGTGTAGTAAACAGCTATGGAATAGTTCGTTTTTAGAAAAATATGATTCAAAGAATCAGAGAAACCTGGAGAAAATGGCTCAAAAAATTATACCATTTGGCGGAAAAAATTGGCCTACGTAAATTTTTGAAAAGATTTCTCCTAGTGTTCAAATTTATTCAACGCTAAGAGCAAAGTTCGATTTTTTGGATTGGCTACGGTACTTACCACAGTTTTATGCTGAAAATTGAAAGAAACTATTTGAATTAAAGTAATTTCTTTCGAAAACATGATTTTTGTTTTTGTCAAGTTTCTGGACAAATTTCTGGGGTAAATTTTGAAATATAAAAACAGTGAACGCGCGAAATAGGTTAAATGGGTCTCTAAGGTATCGTGTTATTTGCCGAAGTGCAGAATCGAAATATAAAAAGCGAGAGAAGAAGAGATTGTGTTGCCGAAATGAAACCAACCCCAAAAAAAACGTTTTCTTTCTGTCTCATTCTCCCGTTTCTCGTTCATTTCTCCCAAAAAATACAAAAATAAGTGTGAGAAAAGGGAAAAATAGGTGTGTAACAATAGGACAAGAAGTTACGGTTGGCAACGCGGTCATGCCCAACACAATTATGCGTCCTTATGAGAAAAAAGAAAACCAAGTGCGATTGAGTGTGGATGAGTGACTATGTGTTGCTAGGATTTACACATTTCGTCTCCTCCTCCCATCCTATTCCTTCCGCTTCCGCCCAGAAAACAGACTAGTCAAGAAAAAATGAATATACAGGAGAAAACAAGAAGACGTCGACAAGGAAAATGCCGAAAGGAAAAGTGACAAAGTTGAGATAATGTAGGCGGATGCGTGAAAAAATAGGCGTTGAGGAAATGAGTGGAATGTGGTGTAGTTGGGGTGCGGGTGGCGGATAGGGATGGCAGAGGGCAATTGGTTGGGGGTTGAGAGGGACCCTTTATGCCAGATGTGTGAATAAACCAGCAAAAAAAGAGAAGAGAAAGCAGAAAATGAACGTTTGGTGGTGGTCAGGCTCTTTGGTTTTCTTCATTTTCTAATACAAACAAAAATTGGTCTATTTGTGAGTGTGTCTCTGTGTACATGGAAGTATGGAAAATCTATTAGAAATTATTAAATTCATTGTGTTTGAAATCATGCATAAAATGTCAATAGGCAAAGGTTTTATAGCTATTTCTTTTCAAAATGTACAGCTCTAAATTCTAAAATGAGGGAAACGAAAAAGTTCGAGCAGAGAGACAAAATGATTTTCTCGAAATTCTTTAATTCCATTTTTTCGAAATTTAGGAGTTCACTGCGCTGTTCTGAAGCCATATTTAACAAAACTTGGCCCGTGAATAATCACAAAAAAAATATATTTAACTTCAATTTTCCGAATTTTCTTATCAATAAACATTAATGATACGTCCAAAGGTTAAATAGTGCATCATTATTCAAATTTCTACCTAATTTGTCTTGCTATGTGACTCACAAACTGGATTTTTCAGAATGAATTTAGAAAACTGAGAATTTAAAGTCATCTACCCAAAAATTAGAGGTTTCCATCCAATAATATTCCAAATATTATGTTCAAAAGTCACTTTGATATCTTGAAAACCAAGAGAATAATTTGTAAAAATGAAAAAGTTTATTTTGGAAAGAAATTCTGAGTTTTCTGAACATGTCCCGCTTGATATTCAAATTCGTTTCTTAATTTTGTAATTTATCAATAAAATATGTAAAAACCGACAAATCCGATATGCCGACCACATTATACTCCATCATTTTATAATAACAAACAGATATCGGAGAAAACGAGAGGGTCTTAATGTGCAGATTAGGTCAAGTGTCCTGGCTAGGGCAAAGCAAAAAGGCCAATATGCGACTGTCATTGCTAGGAGAGTGGGACCAAACAAGATGGATGAGGAGGCGAAATTTTTTGGGGAGGGGGAGTATAGTACAAGAGAAAAAGCAACACATATTATGCCGTTTCTTCTTCGCCCCAATAGATCAAGTGCGGACCTCTAGGATGCAATGACACTCTTTCTCTCCTCTTCATTCAGCTCTATCATCATCATTTATTGTTGAGAGATCATTGTGTGAGCTGAGAGAGACTAGACATGATGTAGGTGGGCCTATCACACGAGAAAATTTATCATGAAGTGGGGGATGAAGGAGCTCGGTGGAGTTCGAATGGGATCCGGTGGTGAGGGATGAGGTGGACAAAGTACGAAGTGTCCAGAAATGTATGGAGAATGAGTCATTGGGTCTAAACATATCTGGGGTCAATTGCACGTATTGGTTATTATATTCAAAGGTTTTAAGATTCTGAGGTTTTGAGATTTTGATATTCTGATATTCTGAAATTCTGAAAAACTAAAAACTGAAGATTTCGAGATTTTGAAAGCCTAAGATTCTGATGTTTCGAGGTTAAAAAAGATTTTGAAGTTTTGGAATATTAATATACTAAGAACCAGAAATTTTGGGATACCAAGATTAAAAGATTGTGAGATTTCAAGATTTTGAAATTTCGAGATTTTGAGATTCTAAGATTTTGAAGATCTGAGATCATGGGATTCTGAGATTTTGAGATTCTGAAATTCTAAGATTATGTGGTTCTAAGATTTTTAAATTCTGACATTCTGAAATTCTGAGATTCTTAGTTTTTAAAGTTTTCGGTTCATGTTTTTCAAAATCTGAGGTTTTATGGCTTAGCGATGATATTGAGAATGTAAAATTCTGAAATTCTGAGGTTTTGGAATCCCCAGGATATAAGATTTGGAGGTTCCGAAAACTTTAAATTCTAAGTTTCCGAGTTTTTGGAATTCTGTTATTTTCAGAGTCTGAGTTCTCTTCAAATTCTTAGAATTCTCTCAGAATTCTGTAAAGCCAAGACTCCAAGATATCGAAATTTTGAAGTTTTGAGACTTGAAAAAATTAGTTCATTTTTAAAATGGAATTTCTGCTTTTCTTGACCCATTGTTCTCTATTTTTCGCAATCAAAAAAATCTTGCATTGAAAAAAAAATACCTGAACCACAGTTTTTAATGATTTTGCAGGTGGTTCCTCCAAAAGAACCATCTGCTACATTTTCAGGTTTGCGTATAACGTCACCGATCGAATCAAAAACACCTACCTGCCTAAAAGACGCATTATTCTTACAGTTTGGAACTTGTATACAACAGAATAGGAACATTTTGAGTAGAGTCGAATATGGCAAATAGGACTGAGGAATACTGACGGTGCCATAAAAGCAAATGCAAACAATAACAACAATACCCCTTTTTCTAAAATGCAACGCTACTAATTTCAAAGCCTTTGAGGCGGCCGCTTATCAGTTTTACAACCATTATTGCTTTAACACTCAAAAGTTTCTGATAACCGTACTTTTCATACTACCTCTAAGAATTGGGTGAACTTGAATAACTTCTACAGGAAGATCAAACTGAAGCTTATTAGATTAGTTTAGCGTCGCAATGGGTAAAGAAGTGGAAACTTTATTTTCCATCAAAATTACAGAAATATCTTAGGCTAACCTGTAAGACTCGTGTGGTATTGGACAAAACGTCGACCAGATTCGAAATGAATCCGGAATTACTGGATGTGGTGCTCCGCCGCATCACCTCGATTTTCCTTCTTTTTGACTTAATTATGGGACCATCAGCTTGATGAGAAATCCGGGTAGATATTCTGAATTTGGAAAAGATTACTCTTCTGCTTTCACACAACGAAATTGAGCTCTAGAGCAAAACGATGAGCACAAAAAGTTAAAAGATGTGTGGAACACTAGAAATGTTTTGAAACAACAAAAAGGAATAAAAATTGGAGAAGCGTTCGCGGTGAAGTTCAGAAAACGAGAAGAGAAGGACTCCTCAATGCAATGGGGACAGAAAGAACATAAAAAAAGTAAAAGTACGAAAAATTTTTATGTCTATACAACGTTCGAAAAGCTTTTGCGGAGAAATAGGAAAGCGACAAAAATGGGCGAGCTGGAAAAAATATGAAATGGAACCTCGGTAATCCCCAATCCCACGATTGTGTTCAGGATCAAGCATTTTAAATGAGAAAAAACAATTGAATATCTTGAAAATCCGTGGGTGTGCTTGGAAAATTGGAAAATTTGGAAAATTCGTCAAATATCATAACCGTTATATGGAAATTCTCTCTCTCTCTCTCTCTCTCTCTCTCTCTCTCTCTCTCTCTCTCTCTCTCCACCCCTTCTTATTTTCATCTGTCAGTTTTTTCACAACGGGTATAGGAATTAGAAGAATAGATTTTTTGCACCTGCCACTGTTGTCTTCTTCTATTTTTCCCTCTTTTCACAGTCTACGAAACTTTCTGACGAGGCATAAAGAAAAAAAAGGCCGTCGAACATGAACAAATATGTGTATGTGTGGAGAAGGCTACACGACGAAAATGGGCGAGCAGCATATGACAGAAAACTGATAAAGTTTCACCTCAAAATTTGATGGTTTTGGTTTTTCCAATTATGGAGAGTTCGATGTCAATACGAGGAAACAGAGTGAGAATCGAGGAGCCACAAGTTTCCCAAGAGGTAGATTTGATCGAATTTCCTAGAAAAAATAATTGTTTTGACTGAGGTTTTGTTTTCAGAACGTCCTCTAGATGTTATGAAACTTTAACGGATCAAAGTAGAGAATTTTAACACTTTTTTGTTTGATCCACAGAAAATAGAAAAAATCCTACTGTAGAAATAACAGAAACAGGTGAATATGTACAAGATTTATTGAAAAATAATACTACGAAAGAGTGATGAAATAAATTAGTTGGAACGAGCTGGGCATTGACAGTATCCAGCGTCTGGTCCGATTGGTCCTTCTCCACCACACTTTCCTGGTGCTCCATCCTTGCCGTGAGCTCCAGTTCTTCCATTCTTTCCTGGATGTCCTTGACGTCCATATTCTCCTGAATTTCCCTTCGATCCATCCTTTCCTGGCTCTCCTTGTGGTCCACGTGGCCCTTGTGGTCCTGGACGTCCTGGATTTCCTGGAGTGTAGACGGTTCCTGGTTGTCCAGTCTCTCCACGCTGTCCTGGTCTTCCTTGTGGTCCCTGTGGTCCGGTCTCTCCTGGCTCTCCTTGTGGTCCTGGGGTTCCAGCTTCTCCTGGCGTTCCACGTTGTCCTGGACGTCCTCCGTTTCCTGGTGGTCCTGGTGGTCCGGCGTCTCCACGTGGTCCACGTGGTCCGGCTGGGCACTTGATGCATCCGCCTGGAATGTCGTGGGTGACAAGGAGAGCGACTCCTGGAGCTCCATCTTTTCCATCCTCTCCGTCTGGTCCTGGAAGTCCTCCAAGTCCTGGCTCTCCCTTCTCTCCTGGTGGCCCGGCTGGGCAACCAGCAGCGCGAGCCTCACATTGGCAGCTATCAGAGTGTCTCTTGTTACGGAGATTGATTCCCATTAGCTTCTTGACTTCACGGTGCCCAGAGACGGATTGATGACGGGAGCTTCCATGGAGAGCCATGATGTTTCCCCAGGTAACATCAGAAACATCCTCAAAATGACTTTAATGTTAAATATGAAATTTCAAAAAATAAATACCTTGAAGTTCTCCATTCCCAAGGAAATATCCTCGCTAAGCTTGTTGATATCATTCATGATAACAAAAACTGAGCATAGCGAAGCGGTGATAACCACTACGCTTGTAGCGCAGGAGACAGTTAGAGCGAATGTCATCGTCAGAAGACGTTGATGAGATATGAGACCTTCGTGTTTCTTATATAGCAAATTTGAAACCGTATAAAAAGTTGCCCCGGGTATCAAGTATTCCTTGGGCGACGCCGTCGGAATAACAAAAAAAACTCTGCGCGGAAAAATGTTTCTTATCTTCTTCTGATCAGATCATTAATCGGAAGAGGGAAACTAATCGTAGTAAACTGATTAGAAAATGAATGTATTGCAATTAATAATATTTTTATTTTGAAGAAAAAAAGGAAAGAACAAAAGTTACAAAATTTTCAAACCTTAAAAAAAGTTGAGGATTGACAGAACGTCATTATCACGGTAGACTACAGGTACGATCAGGAGGCAGATAATTGTGAATAAGGTTGCCGTGCAAAATAGGCATAGAAGGAGCCGATCGACAACAGATGCCAATTGTTGCCACTGCCATTGGATTCGAGACCGTTCGTCGAGAATCTAGAACAATTTTTTTTATAAATCGTTGGTAAAATTTTGTAAAGGTTTAAGAATTTTAGTTGAAGAATTTTAACTACTTCAAATTTTTTTTTGAATAGTTGTTTTTCGATTCTAAAATCTTTACGCCTATGAATTCTGATTTGTGTAACATTTTCAAAACATTCTCGTTTCTCTGCCGACAACCACCGCTAGTCAAATATATGCCGCTTGGCCGCTGAAGCGGCAGTCGGAACTTGATTGCATAAGACTTGCCATTAAATAGAAATAAGCGTGCGGGGGTATAGCTCAGTGGTAGAGCGCTCCCTTAGCATGGGAGAGGGCTGGGGTTCAATTCCCCATACCTCCAGAAATCTTTTTATCGCTTTTGATGAAGTTTTAGGGCTACTTGCTTCAAGTAAGACACAAATGTAGAATCATTTCTTTTCTAATTAGTTGTGAAACTACTTAAAAATACCATTTCTGGCAGTTCACAAGTTTCCAACTTCTCCTAATAAAATCTTATGAAGAACAGGTTTCTTTTTTATGGAAAATGGGAGAGATATGCGATTAAAATGATATTTCGTCTATTACAATGTCCTCTGAAGCTGGCGGGTAGCCACAATGCAGAAATTACATAACAGAAAACATGCTAGCGGCAAAAAACCTGCGGGATATAACAAGCCGGTGGCATTGAATAGTCGTGCGGGGGTATAGCTCAGTGGTAGAGCGCTCCCTTAGCATGGGAGAGGGCTGGGGTTCAATTCCCCATACCTCCAGAATTGTTTTGAAGACTTTTTCTGGGGGTTCATGTTAATTTTCGAGAAATTAAGAATAGTTTTGATACAATTTTCGTTAAATTTTCAAAAAATTAGTTCAAACCGAGTTATTTTAATTTTTTTAATTGATATCAAAAAATGCAGACAACGAAACTGTTGTAGAAATTATAAGAAAAGTTTTATCAGTTGACAGATTTTGGATACCTCTCAAAGAAATAAAGATAATTGAGACCAACGTGCAAGCATTGGGTTGCGTTTTGTTGGATTTTTATCAAACTTTTGGGTCTGCAACTAACCTCTTCTCTTATCTCATGTTGCTGTAAACTTCGGTAAACCCTCTTCAATATCCTTCTAAACCTTGTCTCAAACTCCGTCAGCACCGAATTCGACGATGCAGATATCCTGGGCATGATCTGAAATGTCTCAGATTGGTTTCTGTCTACTAGGAGCAAAATACTTACCCCATCACTAACAACCCGACCTAAGAAAGTGCTCTCACTCGCGAAATCTTCTCTTATCGTCGACCCGTTCATAGGTTTGGGGTCGGAAACTAATGATGTCATGATTGATTCCGCGTAGATGTGCTGGAAATTTGTTTCACTTTGTCCCAAAAAATGAAGTCACTCACCACAAGTGGATCCATACACTCGCACTCTCGATTTGCATTTTGCTCTTTTGATTTCGCTCGTACGTTGGACATGTTTTTCACCCTTTTCAAGTCCCGCAATATTGAACTTCGACGGATTGTGGATTTTTTGCTCTGAAGAAATTTGTCTATTTACAAACTATTTTTATTTTTTGAACGGGATGTACCTGCGATGCTTTGAGAAGTGCTATACTATCAGGTTCCCGGATAGACATCCTCATAAACGTCGCCAAGTATCCTAGAATCCATTTTTGCATCCAAGCAGGAACATGTCTTCCCTGATTCGCTGCTCCGTTCCGATGCATGTTTAATGTGATGACGTTTACGCATGTTGCAAGACAAACCATTAGTAGAGAGGACACATAATACATTCCTGGAACAAGCAATCAGTAAGGAGTGTGTTCAACTCCTCAATTAGAAGCTCAACTCACCAATTAGGGGTACGCCTTCAGATGTCGGTGGGATGGACTCGGTAATTGACTGGAGGTAGACTCCCATAGAGAGCAACGTGGTGATGATCATATTAATTTTTTCTCCGGTTTCGGGTGGCATCAAGAAACCAAGTACAGCCATAGAAGAGATAAGAACACATGGAACAATCTGAGGAGGAATTAGTTCGAAAGGAAATTACAAAAAAAGACCTACATGATTGAAAACATAGAACAATGGCCTTCTGTGCATATGTATCCTAATTACAATAGTTGGCCAATCACTATTGGTGTCTGAAGGGAATCGGACCACTTCTCGTACAGCTGTCATATCCACCAGATCGAATTCGCTGTTATTCATATAACTCGACAGGTCTCCCTTATCAGTGTTCAGTCCCAAGTTGATCTCTGTGATGTCGTGGGACCATGAAGCGAATTTTAGGTCGCATTGCTGGAATATTCTTCCAATTCACATGTTTTTCAGTTTTTCCTTACTTGGTCATCAAACGGATAGTACCTGACCCTTATCGGGCAGGAACTTCTGAAGAGCGCTGAGAACAGCCATGTCACATTTCCATCACTTGTCACCATCACATCCGTGGAGACGAGAGACGCGTAGTACTCGCGGATCGCACTGAAAACAGGTTCTGGTTGTTGAGATATATCTGCTACATGTATTTTTGTTGAATGCTAGAGACGAAAACCTGTGGCATATGACAATCCAGTGACATTGGATAGTCGTGCGGGGGTATAGCTCAGTGGTAGAGCGCTCCCTTAGCATGGGAGAGGGCTGGGGTTCAATTCCCCATACCTCCAGAAACTTTTTTTTTGAATTTTTCGTAATTGTTTATCTTTTTCGAAATTTAGAAGAGACATTTACCTCAATTGCTCTAATACTAATACAAAAAACCTGTAATAGAAATACTCCCTAAATTTCAACTTTGAGCCAATTGTTCTTGGCTCCTGTCGTTGATTTGCATAAACTGTAGGGTGATAAATTGTTGATCATCTTTTCAGAAATTTTATTTTTTGTTAGTTGACGAATATTTGATATCATACCTAGTGACCGAGATAAAGGAGCTCAAACTTGACAGTGTGAGGGTACTTCTATTTTAGGTGTTACGGTAATTCCACTTTGAACACAATTACTTAAACTACATATGGAAAAAGATAATCAGTTGACAGATTTTTGATATCTTTTATAAGAATCGAGATATTTGAAATCAAAGCGGAGCATTTGAGGTAGTAGATTTTATAAACGTTTAAGACTATTCCTCAGTATTACACCAAACCTTTGTATTCGAACCTCAGAAAGTCAGAAATTGATCTACTTCAAAATAAAAATCCCAACTTGTTTCGTTCTTGCAAAAATTAATCTTTCCTCCAACTTTTGAAAAACTCAATTTCTTCCCAAATACTATAAACAAGAAATTGCACTCATCCATGAAGCACATCATGTTTCAAAAAGTCCACCAGACATAAATTTGTATATGTCATTCCAAAGATCATCACCAATAGATATATCCTTCCCTTAATTACTTATCCATCCCTTCTCATATGTCCGCCTTCATATCGTATTCCGTGTTTTTATGTCTATCCATTTTCAACCTAATGAATTCTTTTCATTTTTTCTTCGAAACTTTTGATTTTGAGTTGGCGTGTGTCTGGACAAATACATGCAAATTCAATGTACTTCTTGGAAGGTGTAGTATGGGACTTTATCAATTATGCAAAATGTTTTTGCGCTTCTTTCTTCTTTTACTAAAAATCAAATGATGCAAAAAGGAAAACTTTTAAAGTTCTGGTGAGCAAAAAATTAGAAGAAAATGCCGTAGGGCTATTTTTAAGGGCCGAAACGAATATTAATTAGTATATGCAAAGTATACACTTTTCGGGAATGTTCTTCGAATGCCAAAAAACAAACATTTTCTTCTCTCTCTCTCTCTCTCTCTCTCTCTCTCTCTCTCTCTCTCTCTCTCTCTCTCTCTCGCTCTCTTTTCTGTTCTCGTGTTCGAAAGTTTCTATCGAAATGAACGTTGTAACATTTTCGTAGTTCTTTTTTCCCGGCTAATATGTGAGCCACCGACCACCGAGTTTGTTTATTTCCGGCAGCTCAAAAAACATCAGGAGCAACAGCTGGAGCAAAAGAAGAAAATAGCCTTGGACCCCTCTCTCGGATGAGACACGGGCCCGACCGTTCATAAGCCAACAACAAGTAATTATTTTGTTTTCATTTGCCTAACAGCTCGAACACGGAGCAACGAAGGAAAAGAAAGGAAGAGGATTAGAATTACTCATCACAATTTTTTTTCGAGCCGGTTATTAGTTCTTTAACAATTGCCCCCAGGTGAAATTTGGTTTCTGAAGTTTTAAATGAATTATTTCCCAGATTCCCATAAATTTAAGTTTGGTTAGAAAAAAAGGGAATATGAGGAGTATCAAGAAAAAATGGACGCCGGGCAAAATAACCCGGAAGATTTGTATTCTATTCATTAGACGTAAAATGAAGAGGTTCCGTCCAATTGAATACTTAGAAGTGGGAATAAAAAATCTTGTGGGATCCTAAGAATCGTCTGAAGAGTCTATTGAAAGACAAACAAAAAGCGAAATTCTTACTTATTGACCAAAATAATATCGGGCTTCCAGATTCGGGCATGTGGAATATAGATGGCTTTGATATCAGACCATAAACTTTCATTCCAGGATAATCGTGGATCCATCCAGTTGATGTTTAGCCAACTCCTTGTTGTAAGAGCCTGGTTTCGTTCGTCCTGAAAAAACATCTATTTTAGAATACTGGAAGTTATTGGAAAATTACAATTTTGAAATATTCAATTGGCTCAATTTTCGATTAAGTATTATTTTGGTATTTCAGGTGTTTGTTTGATTTTTTAGAGCTATTTTTCCGAATTTGAACTTTCTAATTAGAGAAAAAATATATATTGCTATGATTGCGAATATTCTGCATGAAAATTTTTAAAAAATCAGATTTTCCCTCAGAACAGTACCGAAACTTTTTTCACTGGAAAATTTTCAACTATGGCTTTACAGATTCGTCAAGTACGTTTTAAGTTTTCAGACAAACAAAAAAAAGCAAAAAAAAAAGATTTTTTCAAAATTTCAAAGTTCACTATCTCTCTTTAAAAACTGTAGCTTCACATTGGACCAGTCAACTTAATACTTTTTTCTCTTGAAAATCAAAATTTAAACCTCTCTTAAGTCTTGCACAGAATGAAAACTCTTGAAAACCGTGGAAGTGGTTTGAGATCTGGTCCCAACCAACCAAAAACACTTGAACAAGTTGAAAAAACACAATTACCAACCTTGTTTCCTTCTGATTCTTTCTTTCACCCATCAGTTACTCACCATTTCCACAATTTGATTCAACAAAAACCCAAATGTGACATTTGTGGGTTGAGAATGATGAATGCACGGTCGAACATCTTTTTCGTAGACTGTATGATCCAGAAGTGACCTATATAACGCTTCCTCCGTCCCATCAATTGAGCCCTCTGCAACAAGAACATGGAACTTTTTTCCTTGTCGGGTTTTGCTTTTATGGGAGCATTAGACGACCTAATTTGTCCCTGGGGATCATAATGATGAACATCGGACATTTTTATCACAACAACACAATCTTTTGTTTTACTTTTCCTCTTCCTCCTGATTCTCCTCTTTGTTTCTTAACTTCAAACAACTTGTTGTGTGTGAATTTAACTACTGTGTTGCCCCCAGTCAGCAGAACTCAAATCCAATTTGCCAAATTACATCGTTTTTTTTTTCGTTGTTTTCTGAACTTTGCCTTAACACACATACACACACACATACTCCTCTGGTCCATCTTAGAGCCATAAAGAGAAGGGGAAAGAGAGCTAGTTAGGGTAATGCATCTCTTCCCGGTTGGTGTCACCTATATATATATATATTTTTTTTTTGAATTTGGGGTCCAGTTTTCCCCCTCTAGTCCTCAACTCGTCCCGCCGTCATTTTTGTTCGATGAGCTTTTTTGCGGGGGGAGCAAGAGACATCAGAGGATATTGAATCTATTTAGGCACAAAAACAACAAGAGTGGAATAACCGAAAAATATATGGTGGTGGTGGCGGGTATGGAGGAATTTGGAATAAAGGGATATCTTGTGATTCTTTGATGTCACGTATCAAAAATTTTGGGAGGGAGTGTCAGTTATAAAAATTTTTGATTGACACTTACTCGTTCGAAGGGCTTTTTCCAATCGATGTGGGTCAAAGTTGGGCATAGGAACCACTGCGGAAACATGTTCTTCTCTAGTAGTAGGTAAATGGGATACTGTATCTGCACCTATTGAGTTTTCTTCGAGAACTTTGAATTTGCTGAAAAACAATTAAGGATTATTAGCAGTTCTAACCAATTGCCTTCTTACCCTTTTGCAATCTCAAATTTCTCAGGCTTCGGTCCTGTGTCATTGGTTTGTGGACTCCTATCCAGTAGCGAGAACATTACTCGATTTTCGACATTCTCCATTCCAACTATTCTGCATGGTACAAGATCAATGACTAGGAGAATACAGAACGTTGTACACGAATGACATATGACCATAAAGGAATATTTACGGAGTTGAGCGTGGACCCCGACGAATGGACTGGGTAGCCAATTTGAGAAGCCGACGACAACGACGGGAAAAACCGACAACGTCCGACGGATGGGCGGAGAGTAGAAGAAGAAGAAGCAGGAGGTCTTCTCTTCTGACGTACGTGACGTGGAGTGCGAATGTGATGGTGTGGAAGAGAGCACAAAAAAGGAAGAAGAAGAAGAAGAAGAAAAAACGACGAGGGTCCAGAGAAGAGGAGGCGAGAAAGTTTTGAACGGTGGCATGGCTCTGGCGAGGGCGGGGTTTTGGTTGGAACGGAGAAGTTCAGAGAAGAAAGGTCTGGAAATATGGAGACAGAGAAGTTTCAAATGTGTGTTGTTGTTCTGTCTGAGAAAGATTCCAGGAATGAAATATGAGTTTTTGGAGCTTACAGGACTCCGTGTCCGAACAACTGGAAAAGTTTCTGCCCACGCATTGATCAAGTAGTATTCTTTGAAGAGGCGTCTGATCAGGTGTCCTTCAATTTTGAATATTGCGCATATTTTTTGAAAAGAATGAAAAATATTTACTTTGGAAAAGATTAGATTATACTGAAAAGTAATTTTTTAATTGACAACTTTTTTGCCGAATTCCATTCTGATTTCAAAAAAGCCATATCCACCGAATAAAAAGCATCAAAACAAATGATTATTTATATCCATGAACTGTACACCATCGGTCGTCAGTCGTCGTTGCGTCTGTGTAGCTCACATTCAGTTGGAAGCTGTTGAACCTCTCGGTCTGGACAAAAGTCGCAAAAGAAAACATTAAAACCAAAAGTGAAAAAAATTGAAATGAAGCTACCGTAAAACCTGTATTAGAAGGGCCCCTCTAATAAAAGAACTCTCAGAAAGGAGTCTGGAAAAAAAGAAGAGCCCCTGTAATAGAACGCTGATAAATGGTGATAAATGGTGAGAAAAAATTTACAACATGGAAATGGTGTTCAACTGAATTTAAAATTGGGAAAAAAAATAATAAATCAATTTCAAATTTATAATTGAGATAAATATACAATAGTTCAAACTGGATTCAAAAAAATTGCCTCTAACTTTTCTACTCGAAAATCATTTGAAAATGAACCGAATCAAATTGATGTCAAACCGATCGAATTGAACCAGCAAACCGTCTTCTTCATCAGTTTCCATTTGACCAGAACAGAAGAAGTCTTTTTGAAAATCCGGTTTTTCAAAATACGCCTGCTTACTTCCAAGTTTGGTCAACTACCGTCTTTTCCTGGCAAAGTGGATGGATTAAATTGTTCATTGGTCTGCGTATTAAAGATTTGCAGTTCTTCGGGTTATGTTATTTTTTTTTTCTCTTTTGGTGTTGTCATCTACTGAAAACCATACTGTCGGACCAAAGAGCTATTGGAATTTTGGTTTAGAACCAAAGATTTAAAAACCATATCGGTTTAATCGAGTTTGTAACGCGTACAAACTCTAATTGCAATTTATGCAGTAACTTTTTGATTTTCGGAACATACTCTTTATTATCGGATCTTTGACAAAAGACCTTGTGATAAACTGTAGGTAACGAATTAGTCATCCTACATAAACAAACATCTACAGACAATGGGATTTAGGGGTGGTGATGCTCTCTCTCTCTCCCACTCTCTCTCTCCCATCTTTCTCCACCTGTTGAGACAATTCAAGATGTTGTATATACACTAGTGAGGATGTTTGTGGATGAGCAGGATCCTCTGCCAACCTCAGAGCTTCTTCCACCATCCTCTTATCACCCCCTATTTCCGTCCGCTTTTGTTTGCCACTACAACAGGGAGGGCACGGTAAAATCTTTGCCTCGTTTTCATTTTCGTTTTTATCTTTTTAATTTTACTGAAAAAATTGAAATTTTTCATCAGAATTGTTTTGTTTCAGAGTTTTCATGAAATGAAGCAGATTGCAAAATGGATACGGTCGTTTTTCTCATGGTGAGCAAGATTTTATTTCAATCTTTGAATAGTTTCTGAGCAATTTGGCGGTCATTGCTCTTTTCATAAGAGATCAAAATCGCAAAGATGACACTTTTTCATCTCTATCCTGTATTTTCGTCCGATTGGTGCCTTCGAGCAGCCTGCCCATGCTGGGAAATATCGATTTTTCGAACTTCTGAAAATTCTGAAACAGTTTATCTGGATATCGGAATTCTCGAAAATGGATTTTCCTGGTTTTTTGTAATTATTCAAATCCAAATTTCATTTTGAAGGGTTGTCGAATTTTTTTTGGGTTTTAAAAAAATTCCATATCACGTTTCGCTTACCCCTTTTCAAAACCATATCCCAATGATCGAACAAAGTTTCTTAAAATCCTTAAAATCCATGAAAGTGGGATCACAAATCAGTTTTTGCCAATTTCGTTGCAATCTCGTAAAAATCGTCTTTCCTGGGTTTATACGCCCACAAATAAACCAAATCGAGTTGCCTTAAAACCGATATAATCCTGTCAAGATGGTTGTGGTCAAAAATCGCAAATTGCTAAAAATATCTAATATTTGTGGATGAAGGACACGCCCATTACTTTTTCTAGTGATAGTTTTTGTGTTTTAGCTTGTGAAAACGTGGTTAAGAATTACCTTTTACCAGTTTCTTTTCTGTTTTATTGGTCATTTCACGCTACTGAATTTTGAAGTCTCAAGTGAAAGTAGTTTCTATCTGTCTCCGTCTTTTTTCCTCTTCTGTCAATTGTCCATGTCTAAGTTTGGTATCATTGTTTCACTCTCTCCCATTAATTTTTCTTTTCTCTCCGTATTCTCCGCCATCCCGATTTACCTTTTATCGATTAATCTCTCCTATCCTCCTTTTGTTATCTCTCGGCATCTCTTTTTCTGGTCAGATAGACGGAAAAACTTTTTTTGTCAATATAGTCGATTGCTGACAACTCTATTTGATTTTGCGCAACAAGTTCTCGCTTATTTCCAACTGTCTAAGTACTTTTGTTTTTACTTATTGCTCTTTTTCTTTTCTATATGACAAGCAATTCATTTTTTATAGTTTTTTTTTCTATTTCAAGCCCATACTTACCTTTTTCCATGTGACTCACTTCTTTTCAAATGTGGAACCGAAAGAAAACAGTGGAAGTTGCTTGGCATGTGTCTGTGTGATTTTGTCTGTCCCGATTTAATCGTAGTTTTTTTCTCTAGCGACAAGAAGCTAGTTGCTTCCATTCCGACAGTTTTTTTTCTAGTCTGCCACCACTAATATGTTCTTCCGAACTTTATCGGTGCGTGGGAGGGTGACTTTTGTTTGTACTCGTGCATTTTGAATGCCTATGACGAACAAACAACAGCTGTGTAATTCATTGAGAAGTGTGTCGAATTTTGTTCTGATTTTATGAATATTCAAAAGTTGTTTATTTCGCTTTTTGACGGTTTTCAGCAGAAAAACATCCAAATTATGTTGTCTCAAGTAGTTTAAAACTAGGAAAAAAAATTACGTTTAATTTCCAAAATTTCAAACTTAGAAGCACAAACCTTCCAATTTTTGATAATTTTTCGAATTTTTCATATTTCGAATTTTCCGGTACAAGTGACCTGATAAAACTACCGTATTTTCACTGTTTATTAGCGAATTATCGATTTTGAAGAGTTCCAAAAAAGTTTCAATTGCGCTAAAAAACACTGAAATAAAGTTTACTGTCAACACTCTAATGGAACGCCACCCCAATCGTCTAATTTGGGCAAATGTACCTCATTTTCTGTGAGAGATATCAAAAAGTTGTTAACTGATGAAATATTGCTGATATCATGATAAACATTTTTTCAGTTGACGACGTTTTGATATCTTTCAAAAGAAGTCTTTCAATATAAGCTCAAAGTGGACGGTCCGCCGGTGGCGTTCTATTAGAGTGTTTACGGTAAGTCCAAAAAAATGTTTTCTCTTAGTTTGTACTACTTTTTTAAAATTTCACTTTAGAACTCAGGTTGGTACACTCTAACACATTTTGGGGTACTTTTTTTTTGTTTTAAGACTTCAAAGTTGACAATTTTCAATTAGAAGTATCACATTTATATAACACGTAAATATCTGAATTCCAGTAAATATCTGAATTCCGAACTTCATTCTTCGATTATCTTGTTATCAATCAAAACACATTGCATACAAAATTTGTTTTTTCTTATTTTCCCACTGTCTTACCTATAACACGTAGTAACTTGTGAGTCACCTGTGCTAAAACGTGTCTCAGGCAGTGTGTGACGTAATGCCGTCGGCCTCTCGTATTGTACTTATGACCCTCCTATTCTCAAAAACTGCCACTGTTTGCAATTTGCATTTGCATGACTTTTGCGCCCATTCACCACCTCTTAGCTTCTTCGAAAACGCTTTTGTTCGAAATATGCGTCTTGACGGTCAACACGTCTCGTTTTTCTTTCCCAAGTACCTGACAAGGACACACTTTGGGCTTTTTGCCCTCTCCGTATTGTACTTTTATAACCTTTTTCTCCATTTCTCCGTCATAGATCTTCAAAAAAAATTATTTATCAATTGCATTTTTCAGCCATGCGGCAAGACATGTTCTGATATTGTTCAGAAAATTCTCGAGAGAAAAAAGTAGCTTCAAAAACACCTAAACACTTTTACTTTCAGGTTGTTCAACATGGTTTGCTGTTTTGGCAAAAAAGATGAACGAACCAAAACCATTGAGAAAGAACTACACAAAGAACGAAAAATCATGAGAAGACAGGTACAGTAATCCGTTCACAGCTGAATATTGAACATAAGAATTTTAGATAAATCTACTATTGCTAGGATCTGGAGAATCTGGAAAATCAACATTTGTGAAACAAATGCACATTATTCACGGAGCCGGAGAATTCACAGCAGATGAAGTTCGAGCGTACAGGCAGCAAATTTATCAGGTATTTGATCTAATCTGAATTTTTAATCAGTTTTGAGCAATTTAAGAATGCAATCAGTGCCATGAGAGTGTTGCTAGATGCTCGAAACAAGTTAGGCATTGCATGGGAAGATCCGAAACGACAAGTTGAGGTGGAAAAAGTAATGAGGTATGTTTTAAATGATAGAAATTTCCCTTTTTATTTGAAAATTCTCAGATTCACTGTTGGCGACTTACTCAAAGGTATCGACTTCACCACTTTTGTAGAAGTGGCTCCAATTATCAGCGATTTCTGGAACGATGCAGCTATCCGAAAGACGTATGAACAACGAAACCTTTTCCAAATTGTAAGTTTTTTTAACTTAAATTTTCAAAACTTTCGAACACTGCTTTTTCAGAGTGACTCCTGTCAATATTTCTTCGAGCACATCCCTCGTATAGCCATGCCAGATTTCTACCCGACCAACCGAGACATTTTATTCTGCCGAAAGGCGACACGTGGAATTTCTGAGCATATTTTTGAGATTAACAAGATTCCATTTAGGTTTTTTTCATATTTTCGAAAGCCTCTAAATGTGAGATAATAACGAATCATTTTCAGATTCATCGACGTTGGTGGACAACGGTCACAACGTCAAAAATGGTTTCAGTGCTTCACTGACATCACGAGTATTCTGTTCATGGTGGCCAGTAACGAATACGATCAGGTTGAAGATCAACACACATTTCACCTTGTTTACGCTTCGTTTTGATTTCAGGTGATTCTTGAAGACAGACGAACAAATCGAGTGGTCGAGTCGCGGTCTGTTTTCGAAACAATCGTCAACAACAGATCGTTCTCCAATGTTTCGATTATTTTGTTCATGAACAAGAATGATTTGTTGCAAGAGAAGGTACCGAAATCGGATATTAGACAGTATTTCACAGATTTCACCGGCGATCACACTTTGGTAAGTTTTAAATTTAAAAGAAATGTTTGAAAAGAAAACATTGATGAAATCAAAAAGTTCACATAGCTAGTTTGAAATTCTGGTTCTATTCTAAAAGATATCCCGAACAGGTACTCCAGGGCCCACCAATCATACAATCGGTTCCAACATGATATTCGTGGTTTGAACCCCATCCTTCAGAATACTAAGATTCTAATCTTTAGGTAATCGAGACTCTGATTCTAGATTTTGAAATTGAAAATTTTGTATTTCTGAGGTTCTCAAACCTTGAGAGCCTGAAAATTTTGAAAATGGACCCGTTGTGAGAAAGATGAGACCATGGTCAGAGGAACGCGATAAGGGATACCTCTTTGGGTCCACCATAATGGGACAGACGGTCTTAACTAATAGTAAGGACTTCTGTGGTAGGCCCGAATTTTGAACCTGAAAGAGCGTTTTTCGAAGCTAATTAAAATTTGAATCCTCATTACTCAAAAGTTTATTCAATTTTCTTTAACCCTTATTTTCCGAATCACCGCCAACCTTCAAATTCCAGGTCCGTGACGTTCAATTCTTCCTTGTCGACAAATTCGAAGCGTCCAGACGGGATCGTGCTCGACCATTCTTTTACCATTTCACCACTGCCGTCGACACTGAAAACATTAGAAGAGTATTCCGAGATGTTCGGGAAAGTATTCTGGAGCAGAACTTGAAAACTCTCATGATGCAGTGAGGGATTTTAAAAAAACGCTAATTGTATTTTGCCTTTTCCTTTTTTCCTTCAATGTAAGGGTGCCAGTTTAATGATCCAAATTCTATTTGTCCATGTGATTCAGTTCAATTTTTCTTTTTTGTTCAATTATTACCTTTTTTTTGTTTATCTGGAACGCATATTTATAGTCATAATAAATTTGTTGCGATTTCTCTACCAGAAGCTTCAAAAATTGGTTGGGATCGTGGAAGTTTTAATGTCTCAAGGTGTGCCTAAACTTAACAAATATACACAAGGTTTCAAGAAAAATTACATATTTACACAATGAAAGAAATCGACAATACTGAAAAAATAGTGTTAAGGAAAAGCACAGTGTTCGTAATTCTGGTCAAAATTTGTTCAAACTTCAAAATATGTTTTTGCTCCAAAAGTTCACACTGGTACGATTTTTGACGAACCAGTAAAAAATTTAGACATTTCTTGTTTAATGTCGCCACTTATTAGAAATACAGTACCACCAGGTGTCTTTCTTAACTGACTAATTACTAATTTTTGCGACACCTCTGAAATATCAAATTTGTACAATGTTACTCTAGCGGCATCTTTGCTCAAAGAAGACACGGTGGAATTTGAGACACTTAGATTTGCAAATGTTTTTTTTTTTTGATGTCGTGAGTCACAGCCAAAAGAGGGGCGTGCTTTCATCCTCGCAATTTTGAAGCGTGGAAAAGGACGACGCCGGACACCGAGAACATATTGGTTAGCAGCACACTTGTATATACTAGTAGCCACTGCTGCACAGAAACGGACACACCCCCGTTCAAACATTTCTATTCCCCCCCCCCCCTTTCTTCGCACACCTTCAGTTCGTTGTCACTACTGATACGGTTCACTTCTTCTACCAGTGGCTACAATGCTCTCGTTCAAGCATTTTAGCCTATGTGTCCTGTTCTATGCAGTCCAAGCTGAGTTGGGAGTTCCGGAGCTTCGAGTTGTCAGAGGTAAACTCTTATTAGTAACCAAAAATGCTAGATACTGAAAGATAGATACTGAAATTCCAAAGATCCCGAAATTCCACAAAATCTCATTTTTGCAAAAATTCGAAGTTCTTAGATTTCAGTATTTGGAATATTCTGATTCAGGTTTAGCAATATTTTCAGTTTGAACAACTAAATCATGTAATGGAAGCGCTAACTATGGTCCAATTCATTTATTTTCCTGCGAGCGAGATCAAATTGTGATAAGATGATAAAACTTTTATCATAATATCACCGAAATGTTATCAGCTAATAATTTTTTGATATTTTCGACAGGAATCAAGATTATATCGCGTGAATTCGACTGATTGGCAGCCTCTCTGTTACAGTATTCACAGTAGTATCTTTGTAAATCTGAGAAATTCTATTGAAACATATAGAAAGACCAGGAAATATCATGAACTAAACGTTTCATCGCTTCTGGTACTTCTATTTTTCTTCCATGAGACCATTTTTCTTTCATGGGGCTCTAAAACACTGAAATGGGACCGTAACTTTTTCATAGTAACGGAAATTTGTTCATGGGGTCGCATTTTCCGACAAGGACCTTGGATTCATTTAAAGGACCTCAATTTTACATGGGACTGTTAAATTATCGTAGTACTCATAATTTTAAAAGATCATGTTTCTGAAATATCCCCCATCTCCTTTTTTATGGATTGTTGATTCTGATTTGAAATTTTAAAGTTTGAATTAATGCATTTCCTCATTTACCATTATTCAGGTGAAGCCAATATCATGCAACTACCACAACAAAGCCCTCATATTGCCATCACCGAGTACTCCGTCGGCGAAACCTACACATTCGAAGTCTTTCTTGATGAAACCACTCAACACGACTATGTGATCGATAACTGCACAATGAATAATGATATGATTATTGGACCACATGGGCTAGTTAACTTCATTGTCTCAATAAGTTTTTGTTTTTGATTTTTAGATGTGTGGATTGTGGGAACTGCATCAGCAAGTCTGTGGAAACCGAGTCCTACAATAAGCCAGGTGCTATCAAGAGAACTCTAGTGGAGTTTGTTGCTAGTTCATCGGTAGGTCAAGAATCTCTAAAGACACACAAAGAAAATGATTTCTATTTTTCAGTTCATTCAATTCCGATGTCACATCACACGTTATTACTGCTCTGGGTGTGCCGAGGTGAGGAAAATTTCAATAAATAGAATAGATGGATGACGTGTCCTTTCTTAAAATTGCATAAGAAAACGACAAACTAACACACGAAGTCTTGAGGAAAAGACAACGTGAACGCGCCCAAATAATACGATTCGTTTCCGAACCATATAATTTCATTTGGGTGGGGGGGGGGGGCAGCCGGAAAAAAAACGTAGTCAAGACATGGGCGGTGTGGACAGTGACTAACAAAGCTGATGAAATAAAGGAATGAAGAAAAAAGAAGTACCGCCTCATTTTCAGCGCTCCTGCCAACGCTGGCATATGCTTGCATTGGATCATTTTCAAGTAATTGACCAACCGCAGAAGTTGTACATGTACCCACCGGCCGGATACCCGATCGCCCCAATTGGTGAGTTTTGAAGGGTTGTTTTTTTATTCGGTTTTTTATACTGTGCACGATTTTAACCTTTTTTCTTCTTTCTTAAACTTCTACGCATGAGATTCAGGAGCATTCCCTATTCCTATGCCTCCTAACATCTATCCAACTCCTCCGGGCGGGTTCCGTATGCCACCTCAAACTCCTCCCGAGATTCCACCGCCTCCAATTGCTCCGCCTGCCGCCTACGGCGGTATGTTTCTGGTTTTCTAGTTATACTATATGGAAGCATGAACGGTTCTAGACAATTTTACTCCTACAGGTTAATTGAAGTTACAGTATTCCAATTTTTGACATTCCAGGAGGAGCTGGAGTTTGGCCATGGTGGGTCTGGCTTCTGATTATTCTGCTCCTTCTTCTCCTTCTCTGTTGTCTTCTGGCACTGTGCTTCGCTGCATTCATGAAGCGAAGAAAGGAGAAAAAGACTACAACGTGAGTTTCCTAGCCTAATACAACAAAAAATGCGAAGAACAGAAATGCAACAAAAAAAACAAAAGTGATGCAAAGAAATTTTTGTTTCCCCGTTTTTTTGGGTGACGAAGTCGTATAGTTAGTTTCTGTTCCTTCACGCATACTAGTGTCCAAACATATATGTACACGAGAGGACAAACAGAACAAATATATAGAATGCAAAACATAGATTGTACATTACAAGGCTTTCAGCGTTACTGTCGTTGATGGCAAGGATTGTGCAGTTGGGACGGATCAGGTCCAAACGACTTGTGTTGGAACGGATACACAGGAAATGGTCAAGGTTCAACCAGCGGTCAGTGAATGGGCTGAACTAAGACCTTTAGGAAAATGTTGCACCATACGCTATGATCCGTTTTGCAGATGATCCTGGGAGCTGATCATCTCGAACAACATCACCACCACCAAAATCAGCAGCAGAGCCAATACTCTCGTAACCAAGCAGAGTACGATCAAGGATCTGTAATGGCTGGTGGATCTTATTCTCTTCGAGAGGGAATGATCCATGAGGGTTACACACGGACTCTTCCGTAAGCTTCTGGTACCAAATTATTACGTCAAAACAATGATTTTTCAGAAGAGACGTCTACGCCGCCAACGACCGCTATGCCAGCCGTGATCGCTTCGAACGTCATAGTCAGGACAAATTCACCGACCGTTCTAGCTACCGGAATTTTGCCTACGAGAGAGACATGGGAAAAGTGGAGCCGATGGATGGGTTTGATGAGGTGGAGACTCGAGAGAGAACCTACTGCTTGAGTGATGATGACCAGGAGATTGTTGAGAAGAACATCAAAAGAACCCACACTACCAGGTGAGCATCAATTTTCAGAATAATGCTTCAAAATTCTAATCTTCTAGATATGTCACCGAATCCCGCGAATACGAGCCCGAGCACGACAACGAGGAACGTATGAGAGGTGACGAGTACCATCACGCCAGCTACACCCACAGTCTTCCGGTATAAACGATCAACTTAATCGAGTTTTTGAACCTAGTCAAATTTTGAAATCTGAGTCATCCCGCCTACCCCCCCCCCCCCCCCATCCAATACTACAAGTCTTTCTTTTTTTTTTGTACTGAAATTATGTCTATTCTCAATGTTATGATATCCCTTTCTGACTACTTTGCCCACGCCATGTTTTGAAGTTTTAAATTGCTTTTTTCTCGAATTTCTACGTCATGATGTTTTTTTGAGCTGATCCCTCCCAATGTCTTTCTAAACTGCTTTTTTTCGAATAAAGTTTTTGATACAAAATTAAATTTATCCAGCCTACGCACAAATCAAGTTCTTCTATTTTGCAGGTGCTGCCCGAAAACTTACAGAAAACCTAAAATCCTACGAGCTACCGATCTATTAGGCTGTTCGGAAAGTTCCTTCCATTTTTGATCGGCTGAAATAGTGACTACACCCCAACGGATGTCATTCTCCTCCTCTCGTCTCGACAGATAGGCTCAATGTTTTCCCTCCTAATAATTTCCATTCTTGGACTGCCATCTTATTCATACTCCCATCTCACCGGAAAACTGCTGAAATCCATCGCCGAATAGGGGAGGTTAACAACGAAAATGTACTCTTTCGATTCTCCTTTAAAAAAGGAAAAAGGTTTATATTTAAATACATTGAACCCCGGAAATAAAAGGGGCCCATTTCAAACTGTGCCGGATATATCAAGTACATCTATGGCAAGTATTTTATTAAAAAGCCATATGTTGGAAACTCTTGGCAAAGTCAAAAGGGTGGGAAGATATGAACCACGCTTTTTGGCTCAACGCCAATTGGATACACCAGACGTCCCGAAACATAAAATTCGTCAAAAAAAAAAGATATTATGGATGTGGTGGTCTACCAAGAAGTGGAGTATTAGGAGCTACTAGACGATGGTGCCACTATCACAACCGACTTCTTCTCAATCTGGATTATTTCACCGTTGTGACCCCACTACCATCCCGATGGCTCTATCAGTTTTCCCGGTGAACAACGTTGACACATTGTTGGCAATATCTTCGAGTTTTTATTTTATTATTTTTTTCCTATTTCAAAATTCTTATTTTGATGTTATCTTTTTTGTATTTGCAAAACTTCAAGTTTAATTCTCGCTGTATTTCATCTTTATTCTCTCCTTTACCCACCGCGTGTCCCGATTTTCTTCGTTTCCCCAAGATGAATATTTTGCTTCATATTGTTGATTCATACATATACTAGAATCATTTTTAAAAAAGATGATCCAACTTTAAAGGAGGATTCCGGGCAAAATGACTTTGTGCTTAAATCGATGCAAAATATGGGCTTATTTCCAAAAATCACAATAAAAACGCTCAAACGCTCAAAAAAATTTCCTGTAACCACAAAACGCCGTCAAACAGGCCGCCAGAATAAAAGTTATCCCTTAGGGACTAGTTTTTTTGAAAACTCGGCCACCGGCGCCGCCTCGTCCACGCCCTCCGCGGCCATCGATTTTATTGACATTTTTCAATGAATTTTGGTCGTTTTCCATGTTTTTTTCGATATTGATGATATTTATTGAGAAAAAATCATAAAAAATGAACCGGAAAAGATAATTATACCAGATTTCAGCAATAATAGCGTTAGAAACAAACGGAAAATAACAAAACACTGGGAAAAAGAGAAGAGAGAAAGAAAGAGAGAACTGGGAGCTTCAGATCATGTCATCGTCAGACGAAGAATAGTTATTAGGAGAAGAATAATCATCAGTCATGTGATTTGGGTCGGGAGAAACCGATAGGGGAACGTTATGAGTAGAGGCCTGGGTTTGGTGGGATCTAACCCCTTCTAGAACAACTCGACGCCAAGAATGAGTTCCCGACGACTTCCTTTTTTTGAAAACTGCTTCCTTGTTTGATTTGTTGTAGAATGCTTTTAGCCCAGTATAGTGTCTCTCATTGTTATACCATTCTATTTTGAGAGAGTTCCAGTGAAGTACGGTCAACTGAACGCGGAGAGGGAAGTTTTTGTGGCTAGAATATTATTATTCAAATTTTCTAGCTCTGTAGGACTCACAAGTAATAGCTTTTTGGGTGATAAATAGTGGACAACGAATTGAAACTTTCTACTTCTAGCAAAAATTGTTTTCTAATAGAAAGCTCACGACTCACAGAGACTGCATATCCGGATGGCTTCAAAACAGCCGCTTCTATTGCTTCAGAGTGACATTGACGACAATATTTGAGACTGTCAATCAAACAATTCAAATCAACAAATGCATACTCTAAATTGCCACTTGTCTCGCCCTCTTCCACCTCACTGTCATCAGACCAAGATTCCTCACTTTCCGGCACAAAACTACTGTCAGTTTCCTGTTCACCATAACTCTCCTCCGAATCTTCTCCATCTTCCTCCCCATCAGTGTTCAAAAGTACAAACGATTCCTCGTTATCAGCAACTCTTGAATCTTCAATTATCTCGAAACCGTTATCACCTTCGGAGAAATATAAATTAGATGTATCAGCAACATCACCATCAGCAGCGAGTCTAGGAAGCGAATATACAGATCTTCTTCCATGAACTTCTCCGGATGGGAAGTGAGAACGACAAATGTAGGCTCGTCGAGTTCCGACTTTCTCCAATTGATTCCTGAATCCTTCTCCCAACGCCTCAATCCACTTTTCTCTTCCTGTTTTGCTCGAAGTGATAACAGTCGACTCCTTCCACGGAACCATAGCCCAACAGAACTGACAGCGACGTCTTTTTCCTTCCGACATTTTAATTACTACAATTTTTCAGATGAATTCTCTCTAATTCTCATATTCAGACTCTTCGGTTCTCACCAGCTATCATAATTTTATTATATTTCTACACTTCAAATGAATACAGCTTTGAAATATGATTTATTTTGAAGCAGACAACGAATATGAGAAAAAAAATAACAAGAACAAACCACACATGGCCGCGGAGGGCGTGGACGAGGCGGCGCCGGTGGCCGAGTTTTCGAAAAAACTAGTCCCTAAGGGATAACTTTTATTCTGGCGGCCTGTTTGACGGCGTTTTGTGGTTACAGGAAATTTTTTTGAGCGTTTTTATTGTGATTTTCGGAAATAAGCCCATATTTTGCATCGATTTAAGCACAAAGTCATTTTGCCCGGAATCCTCCTTTAAGTCTGTTCATAATTGAGATCTATTGAATTTCGGATTTCGTAAGAAACATTGCATCGGTTTGACACAGGTTTGAGAATATGTTTGAGTGATTTTTCGAAACTAGTGAAATCCAACGTGGTGGCCTGACTTTCGCAAGTTGAGTATTCTAGGCCACTATATGAAAGTCATCAAGAAATGACTTAACATTACTCTGGCGTGGTCTCCAGGTCACTTCGAGTGTAGTGTGTCGACGTTTCTACGTTTGCGCGGGTGGTATGGCGTTTACGGACCACAGATACACACAGAGAGTCGTCCCTCCTTGTATTGTGCGTGTGCGTGTGCCCTCATCGAGATGTCTTACGGTGTTTCACTTCTTTTGTCTAGTTTTTCTCATTATCTCTTCTTTTAACTTGGCATTGGGGGAGTTTCAAATCGAGGGTCCGTAAATGACTTCCGAAAAGTGAGATTATTTCTAATTTTTCGAGTTTTTCGCCGAATTTTCCAAGGAGAATGCGACAAAAATGTTGATATTTCACTGGAAAACGCTTCTAGTTTCCCGTTTCTCCCTATGTCTTCCGTCGTATGACCCTCCGTTATCCCAATAAACTACTTATTATTCCCTTTTTACAGAAAATTCGCTCGTTCTGGTCATTTAGTCTTAACTCTCTTCGTCATTCACATTGCATTATATCTTTTCGTTTTTTCAGTTATGAGAAGATCAAGTGCCCAACTGTCTACTGCGAGGCACAAGACTCACTCGCCTCCCCGTAGAATTACAAGGAGCAGGAGCCGTACACCATGGAGCCGAATCCGCACTTCCGATTCTCAACGAAGTGACCAACGTGGTGAGTTTTCGCAGCATGATGAAGTTTGATAGCTAGCCATAAACCTCTCAGGGGCCAGGCCGTGATCTCTATGAAGACATCTAAAAATCAGCCATACGGGCAGAAAGAAATTTTACCTTGAGAGAAAAGCCGCCGGTCTGAACAACCTGTCCAGCCCGAGATTTGATAAGTGCAGCACTGATTAGGAGAACAATCAATTTGACAAGAGGACTTCAACACTTTGTGAAGCCAGATTTTTATGAAACATTTAGGATAGGTAAAGAATAGCCTAACTTGCCAACTTCTAGAAGTTTTTGGTTCTGATCGCCAGTTTCAGATTATCAGTTTTTACCAGAAACAGATTTTTACCAAGTTGTGTTTTACTTAAAATTGGTGTTCTGAAGCGTCTAAGTAAGAAGTTGAGAAAATCGTTTTTGACAATTGCTAATTTTGGCCTGAAAAACGACCCCTAAATTTTTCAGAAGTGTCTAGATATTGTTAACCTTTCCTAAAATTTTCATCAAAATCTGAGAGCTTGCGTTGAGGTTCTTTTGCTGAATAATCTTGTACATATATGATCAGAACACGACGAATCTGATGTCATATTTTTTGATACATGTTTTTAAATTGGATTAAAAATCAATTTCAGGCTCTTCCACGCGTGATAATAGAAGATCTGAACAAAGTCAGTCAGCGAGACAGTCACGTCCGACAACACGCTCCACCTACAACTCTCAAACTCAAAGATCTATGACAAATATTCGTCGTTCTAGAAGCAGAAACGTGAGATTCGCAAGCCCGCCACGTCAAGGAAGGATTGACACCGGCACGTCCAGAATCCAATTTACTTCCAACCGAAATCGGAGAAGTCAGTCCGCATCGAGACCATTGAGTCAGCCGAGAGGAAATACACTCGACCTTAGTAATCGATACAAACAGTCTAGTCGTTGGCTGGCCTTAGCGTGTCTGCACACAGCGTACATTGTTGATCGGGATACTGATTTTGAGTATCCAGATTTTGGTGAGTTGAACTTGAACAGTTGAACAGTTCCTGAAAACGTTCTTAACTGATAACTTTTAGACACTTCTGGATATACGCCCAAGGTTCTTGCGACAATCAAGGAGTTGACAAAGCCAGTGAAGGTTTAGCGGAAAATGAAAAAAAAAGATTTATAATCCAAAATTCTAGGTCTGGAACGTCAACACTATGACCATCCCCCGCAAGACTCTCATGCCTTTGCATGAAAACTATCGTGGACTCGACCACAAAATTGATCAAATGGTGATTCCTGATTTAGATCCGAATGGAAAAGAACAAGCTCTGTGTGCTGATCCAACCCCAACTATTCCGAATTTCACAGGTGAATTGTTTCTGGACATTCAAACCACTTCCGCGAAGAGCATTATTGAAAAAGCACACAAAAGAATCAATGGTATAAACACTGTCTATGATGTTCTAGATATATCTTCTCGAAAATATTTGATCAGTGGAGATGATGATTCAGTTTTGAAACGTGAACTAGAGTTCTTTGCTGATCATAATTCGAAACAAGCGGAAGACACTCGGGAGAAAGCCCCAAAAAAAGGATATTTGCCAGTTAGGATTTACAAAATGTCTGAGAACGAGGAAGAGCCATTCGACAACTTGCAAAAGGTAGTCAAGACAAGCAGCATCCTCATAATTGAAGATCTTTGCGATGTGATTGGACTCAAAAGAAAGGCGTTCACTCTTAGAGAACTGTTAAAAGCAATGCCTGAATACAAAGTCAACGTGTCGAGGCAGATTCCAGAACCTCCTGAGGTTAATATGCTGACAGTTTACGATAAGAAACTGGAAGAAAAGTCACAGGGATGGAGAGCCAACGCCATTCAACACGATGTTAGTCTGGAAAGTTTTGTCGATTATTACGAGACATCGACAGCTTTGTCAATCAGAGGTGAGTTCATGCAAAACTTTTGGGAAAGAGGGCACCTTGAGAAGGGATAAGAGGGTAACAGGGGTCGCTGCACCAGTCAACTCTTTTTTTCGAACATCGTTTCAATTGAATGGAAAATGATGGGAATTCTGAGAAATCTTTTGATTCAATCGCTCAAAATTCATAAATTATACATTTCAGCGCTTCAAAACGTCAAAGCTTGTCCAGACAATGCAGAATCCATAATTGACACATTGCAAAAAGAGTTGAAAAATGCGTCATTGCCGTTGCCACGTAAATACCATATTCACCCAGATGCCACAGTCATTGCATTCGGAACGAATATTGATATCAACCCAGAGAATAAATATCACAAATTAAAACGACAATTGCAGGTATGTTTCATTACAATTTCTAGTTTAACGAATTGAATTTATTTTTCAATACAAACTTGAAAACATTATGAACATTTGTATTTTGGTTTCGCGAATTTTTAGTCTGGGTAAACTTTTTGAAAGGTTTTTTTTTTGAAAAAAATTGTGTTTATTTTTCAGAATGTCGAAAAGTTGCCCAAGTTTCTCCGTCCCACAAAAGATGGCGACCTAATGGATCATGTGCCAGAAATCCTTGCCGGAATCAACACACTTCAAGTGTACGCCAAAGTTCCAGGTGTAAAAACATACCCGCACATTGAGAACGGAAGCTTGGAATCCGTAAATGTTAATTTGGGACCAGGCAACAGTGTATGGTACAGTGTGCCGCTGGAGTATAGTGCCAAACTACAAGAATTGGCAAGCGAGAAAATGAGTTCAAGAGAAAAGGAAGAATTTTTTAAACAAGGATATTGGCCTAATGAAGAGGAATGTATATCGAGAGGAATTCCAATACAAAAATTCATCCAAAGGCCATTCGATACAGTGTATGTTGGTGTTGGAACATACCACTGGGTAGTGGCTACTGGCTTCACAATTCAAATTGCCTGGAACGTGGCTTCGAAATGTTTCCGGCAACTGGCGATGGTCGCTATCACTCATGATCACTATCTGGCCAATAAGTACACTTCACTCATTCCCATCGAGCCAATGATTTGGAATATGGTGAGAAACAAGACTGACATAGACGACAAGCTGAAACGACTGGTCAAAGGAATGCTATGTCGGTTGGTTTACCTATAAAAAATTGAAAGCAATTCACTCTCGTCATTACAGAAGTCTCGCAAACTGTAAATTCGAAATCGACTATGTTGAGAAGCACAACATTAGAAAGGTGCCTATCCAAAAGACACACGGGTTCGCTCCTATTGAACGTTGCCACAAATGTGATGTGATTGTGTTTAACTTGCTGCCAACAGACACTAGACCGAACGTCTACTGCTTCCAATGCTTAAAGTAGGTTTTTTTTATTCCCTTTACTATATATAACTGGATCTTCTCAATTTTCCAGACCGAACAATATTGACGTGGTATATCAGAGATACTCCATAAAGAAACTCAGTGATTTCTATGATTCCGTCCACCTCTATTGATTATTTTATATTTGAACCCTCCATGTCTCACCTATGCGAATCCCTATTTTTGTGTCCAGCGATATTATTTTTTCCACAGGTGCTTTTCAGGTTTACATCTTAACTTACTTGAACCCTTCCCTATTTCGTGGTTCTTTTTTGGATGAGACTTCTTTTTCTGTTTTCCAGTCCATCATCCAGTCCACGCCCCTCGTTTACACATCTCTTGCTCTTTGTTCAAATCAAATAGGAATTGATTTTATTTTTCATAATCGCATACCTGCACATTCTGTGATTCCTCGAGTTTTGACTTTTTATTGTGCCCACCGGTATACCCTCTCGATGCTCCTTGTCTAGTTAGATGTTCAAACCACACACTATTTAAATGAAAATGTTTTGAGCAGATTTTGTTCTTTTTTCATTTCAAAAATAGTTCAACACAACTACAATTTCAAAAAGATCCAAATTCCTCAAACCGTGGTTGTGAATTTTTTCGGAAATTCTTAAACATGGTGAAAAGTCCTCTAAGCTAAAAATATTCAAAAGTGTATCTCATTGTTCACTGCGCAACAAATTCACAATAGGCAATTTCGAGATTTCTGGAAATTGGACTGAATGTAAAGATGAAATAAATAAACAGATTTTTGCTGAGTCACATGGAACATCGTATTTTCTCAAAAAAAATGCTTGTTGCTCCGCGAGCACAAAAATTGGAAAGTTAATGGTTTTGATATTTTTGAATGTAGATATGGAATTTCGAACAAAATGAACAGATTTTTACTGAGTCTCATCAAATAATAGCATCGCATTTGCTTGAAAAAAATGACTGCTGCTCCGCGAGCACAATAAACAAAAATACCAATTTCGACGTTTTTTTTTAAATGTACGAACCAATTTGAGGATTGGTGTCAATTGCGGTAGATCAAATTTCGGAAAAAAAGTCGATTCTCGGTTGTTTACAGAACCAGTGGTTGCTAGTGTTGTAGGATTGGCTTCTTTTCTTTCAAAAATACAATTAGCTCCGAGAATTCAAATCTAGTCTTTTGCATTTGACCTTCTATCAGAGCCCGTCGCAGCTCGTTTGAATCACAGTAAACGGAAAACTGTACAATATTAATAAAGCCCTTCTTAACAGTAAAAAACATTTTATTGAAATCCTGTATTTTTGAATTGTTCCCTTTATTGTGCTGAAAAAGTGGTTTTTGACAAATATTGAATTCTTGATGAATTTATTCGGAACAACAATTCTTAATTATTCAACACGTTTGATTGTGAGATAATACCAGCACTGCTCTCCAAGGTCATTCTCGATGTAGGCAATGAGCTTGTCCACGGCAACATGCTCGTATCCATCTGAAATTCTTATCTTTCAGATTTCACCTAAATTTTCATACCTTTGTAGGAAAACGCTGCGTATCCGTTAGTCACTTGCATTGTTTTCGCCGCATAAGTCTCTTCGACGGTCGACCAGATCGAAACTCTGTAAGAAATTTCCAGTTGACCTCAAAAAAATTTGGTGTAACTGTGAATATCTTACTTCAGATTTCCGGGTCCTGAGACAGCAAAAATGATTTGTCCGGTTTCGAATTTCTTGATAGTGATGTCATGGAAACCGCTCGCTGTAAAATTTTGCAAGCTTCATGAGGCCACCGAAATACTTACTGGTGGATTCATAAACGGTAGTTGTGTTGAAAGAAATACGGTTGAAAATCAAGTTCTTCAGGTTGATATTTTCTGGAAATAAACAAAAAGTTTGAGATTGTTTAAATTTTTTAAATCTTGACTCACCACACACGGGAACCTTTGGGCGTCTCGGAATTCTCTCGATAGTCGATGCGCTGTTGGTGATGTTCTTCAGTGCTCCAGAAATGTTAATTGCCTTAGTGGTTCCTCCCGATCCAAAATCAACTTCTTCTTCAATGAAAGCATCATTGACATTTTGTCCGTTTCCTTCTAGGCGTTTTGCTTCTTCCATTTCAGATTCGGAAAAAATTATGGACAAATAGAGAGTAGGTGGGCGTGCTGAAAAATATTAAAACGTGTAATTCGAGATTACTGTAACTCACGTGGTTCCAGAGTATTAGTGCTGGCGTAAACCTCAGTGGTTTTGTTATAACGACCGAATCTAAATCTGACAGTGATTTTCGTTTCGCGGACCGATTGCACAACTTTGAATGGAAGCGAAATAATGAAGCCTCTCGCTTCTCTCAAGTCCCTATCCTCTTCATACTGGACTCCTTCGACTATATGCTCGTCCATCCAGATCGCGACACTGAAGTTTTGAAAAAGAGTTAAACACTAGATAAATCAGGCCCACTTTATTTGTCCTCTAGCAAGAATAAAGAATTGAATCAAACCAGTTTCATTAGACTCCAGACGAACAGTCTCATCGAATTCAGTGTAAACTTTCGGTGGGTTATAAATCTCAACTCTCTCTTCTTCTTCGAGAGTGTTGGAATAAATTGTTGGATTTCCGCATCGAAGGACTTGAATGTTCAAAAGTTTAGGGAACGGCACTAATTCCTGGTGGTTGGAAAATACTCCAACAATCAGGAGAGTAGCAAATATAGTAAAGAAAAGACGCATTCCGAATAGCTGCTCTAAAGAGAAGCTGAGAGACGAGAATGATGGGATGGGTAGGTGCAGAGGGTCTTTATATGAGAAAGGCGTAAATCAAATTAGGGAAAGTTGATCATTCCGATCCTTTGTTCCCATACAATATTGATGGGAACCGAGGTAAGGGAGCCTGCCTAGAAACCTGGTTTTTGGTGCGTACAGTATTTGAACTGCAACATTCTCCAAAGAGCGTGCACCAGAATATAACGAAGAATTAATAAGTAACTAGCGTGAAACATTTCAGGAATGTGGGTTGTACGATACCGCGGATAAGAGGGTTTACACGTTTTAAAATTAAATTTGAATTATTCAGGTTTTTAATTAAGATATCGTTGAATTTTCTGAAATTTGGTAGAATCTTCACCCTCAGATTTGTCAGTCCTACTCACGTTGTATCTCAAAATTTGAATTCATAAAAAAAGTTATTCACAATAAATGCAAGTACTATTATCAACGGAGCTTTCATTTCAAAAAATTATTGAAAAGTCACATGAATCTGAAGAAAAGCAAAAATCTCAACAGCAATCTCATCCTGGAGTGACATGAAAATATCAGGAAAAATGGATTTGAGAATGGAACACAAAAAAGTAACAATTAAATTTTTTGGATTTTGGAAATTTAAGAAGTAAGACAAAGAAGTTATCAATAACCGTCGTCATCGTCGTCCGCACTGGAGCCCTCGATTTTCTCGAAGTGTCTGTATTGGCGTCTCAACCGGCATTCACAGAATATTGGCACCTGGAAAAATACAGGCTTCTGGATTAAAGATGATCCTCAAAAATATTCAACTTACTCTAATGAAGTTCATCTGGAATGGTCCGTAGTTGTGAAGAAGGCGAATCATGGCTGGGACACTTTCATAGACGGTTACGCATTCGCTGATATAGCTGGAAGATTCTTAGCTTAGAAAAAAATTCTCGCAACCCTAACATTTCTGAATTGTGAAATCTTGAAAATTATCAAAAACTATTGAATTATGAAAACTTCGAGATTCAAACTTTTCACACTGGAATTAATAACTTACCGAGATTGGATTCCAACACATGATGGTCTGTCATCCTTCGAGCACTTGACATACGTCTTTACAAAGCGATAATCGGAAGTTTGCAGGATTTCCACGTAACTCCCGTTGAGCACTGAAATTCTTATTATTGAACTGATTAATAAGACAGAATATATCCTTACAGTGCCCATAATGTGGGATGTTGTCCTTGAAAATGGTGCTCTCACAGACTTGCTCAGTAGATTCACTGATGCCAACAAGCATGGTGCGTTTAATGGCTGTCAATTTCGGCAAAACTTGCTGCTCGGATTCTGATTTCTCCCATTTACCGTATTCTTCATAGACTTAAGTATTGAAAATGATTAATTGGTAATCTAACTATTCTTAAACATACTTCCTAGAATGAGAAAGACACAGAAAGATAGACAGAGGCAATTCACAAACCATCCTCTATTGGAGAGCATTTTTGTCTGAGCTAGGTGAAATAAACTGATAAAGCTCCCCTTTCAATCAAGTAGAAGCTCCACCCTCCCAATTACTATTGGCTCCGCCTATTTTACGAGCATGCCTCAGATTTTGGGTCCGAAGAAGAGCACCTACCACCAATTATCCCACGGAAACTTTTATGAGGGTACAGTAATTGTGGGTTTGGTTTTTTAACCTAAGAAAGAACATTGAAAAATAGGAGGTGATAGAAAAAGAGAAGGAAGTAAATTTTCGTAACATTCGGGGATGACGAAAATGGGTTGAGGGGGAGGTGATTTTTTTTAAAGTTCCAGAAGTTAGGAAGAAGTCGGAGATCACAGATAGTAGAAGGTATAAAAAAATCAACAAAACTGAATCTTGAAAATCTTGAATAATAGATTGAAACACTATTTTTCAGGAATTGTATGAAATCATGAAATAATAAAATCCAAAGTTCGTGCCATATATAACTTTTCTGGAAGCTATGAAAATGTTGGTTACTCCAGAAAATTTATCAGACAGTGGGGTGCGGACCCAGACAATTTCCGAATGCAATAATCATTTCTGAAGATCGCATTTCAGAAAAAGGGAACATATCGACAAAAACTACCGAATTGCAGTCGTCATCTTTTTTTCGAAGCTTCAGAATACTGCGATCAAAACGAAAGGTAGTGGATTCCAAGATTTTTGACGTCTAATAAATTTTGCGTGTCTAAAATTACAGATTCCTAAAATTCGATATTTTGTTTCTCCAAACAAATCGAAGAAGAGCGAAAAAAAATCATCAAACGGCCCTAAAATGTCATGGTTAATACCCGGCAAAATATGTATATATCTGACTCAAATTCTCCGTTTTTTTCCCCCAATTTTTATGATGTTGTTCATTTGTCCAATCCATTTTTTCTTGCCCATAAGTACACCAGATGGCACACAGTCTTTTTTACCGGTATTCCCTTTCGACTCTCTTTATGCATTCGTTTCCAAATCCTCTTGAAATGACTTTTCCTCTTTTGGTTTTCAAGAAAAAACAAGGAACACATGTGCTAGGCAACAGTTAGCCGTAGAGTCACGTTTTTATTCATTTTTTCTGAATATTTGTTTTTTCTCAGTGCCTCTAGAAAACCCATTGTCTTTCACATTAGTATGTGTGAAAATGGAAACTGTAAAACAAAATAACTTTCTCATTGTTAGCCTATTTTGGCATACGAGAGGCTAGATGTTTGTTTGCCTCCGTAGAATCATAAATTTTTGAAACCAGGAGAAGTTTTATTGATTTTTCATTGTTTTTGACAAATCGGGGACATAAATGCTTTTTCGGTAAGGGTTTTTCGAGTTTTGCGGGTGTAGGTTTGAACTATCCACGAATAGCAAGTTTCCCATCAATATTTTTTCTTCAAAATTCCAAGAATTTCTTTTACCTCTCGCGTAATACCTTTCTACATAACTCATAGACCCATAAAACACCTATAGATTTTAATCAAGCGAGCCTTTTTTTCTGGAAAAGTAATCAATCCTAGTACGTTTCCCATTATCAGTCCACGCCCTCCCTTTTTCTTCAAAAACCTAGCTCACACCTCTTCTGGAGAGCATATATAACAATCACTCGACGTCTTCATATTCTAATTTCCGCCACATTAAGCCATTTCTTCCTGAGATGTGTTGTCTTTTTTGGTTTGCTTTCTCTTTTTTAGTTGGGTTTTTCTCTTTTTCTCAATTATTCTTTTTGGAAATAATTTTCCAGATGAGCTTGCCCGAAAATTTGGAAAACAACGCTCGTAAGCGTAAGCGCACTCCAAAAAAGTACTGTAACACTGAGAAAATGGTAAGCAGTGAATTTCTGAATCTGAAAGTTCCTAATTCAAAATTTCAGAGCTTCTACGGAGCTATTAGAACTGAGAATTCTGACACTGATGTCGATGGATACGGAGAGGAGTACAAAAAACTACACAAATACATCAAGCCAAGAAGAATGAGTATCTATGCTCCAGATTTCCGATACGGACCAAATCGTCGAAGCTATTGGCAACAGGTGAGAGACAATAAAAGCTGTCAAATCTTGAAACAATTTTTCTTGAAATCTGTGAATTTGCAGGAGCTGTCGGACACGGATGAGGATGTGGAGGAAGAAGAGAAGAAGGTCGATCGAAAATACAAGAAGGAGAACGGTGAGGAAGGTTCAAGCGAAGACGAGAGATCGTCGGAGAATTCTGGAGATGAGCACGAAGAAAACGAGGACAATGAGGAGGATGTGGAAAAAGCAGCTAGAGAAAAAAAGGAGAAGGCCAACGTAGACAACGATGATTGGGAGGATGTTGCTAATCTTCAGGTAAGACATGCGATGAATGAGTCTAGAATAGATTCTGATTTAACTTTCAAAATTTTGAGATTTTGTGATTCTGAGATATTGAGATTAATGAGTTTTCGAACTTTTAAGTTTTGACAAGGGAGGTGTTTTCAGACACCGCTTGAGAATTTTCTGAAACTTTGGTCATTGGTACTTTCAAACATGCTGATTACAGGGCTGTTTTTATTTTTTGCCCCTTGCCCTCACAAAAAAGTTATGGACTTTTTAAGTGGTTTCAGTACTAATTTCCCACTTTTGAAGTGAGTTTTTGAAACGGAATTTTTTTTTTGAAAAAATTTTGCCATGGGTACTTGGGAAATTTTACAGTTTTTCGAAAAAATTTTTAATGTGCTAAAATGAATTCTTAACGCATAGAGATGATGAAATAAGTCTTTTCACAAGATTTGGTAGCCTATACCAATCTTGAAATCCCAAAAAAGTGATTTCTTTCGAAACTTCAATGAATCGTAGCCCTTCGAAAATAACCCAGTAGCACTCAAATCTTGTGAAAACATAGATTTACTTATTTCCTGACATATTTGTCAATGTTCCCCACCCAATATGATCTAATCAGGTTATTTCGACTGACATTTTGAATCAATAAGACTTTTCAGCAGTGCTTCAAGAAGTTTTCAGAAATTATTTCTTGGGTATTTTTTGAAACAAGTCAAAAATTGAATTTCTCTTTCAAAATAAGTGAAAACATAATTGAAATTTTTATTCCAAAGATTATACCACATTTTGAGAGTTCCAGAGAGATAAGAAAAAAATATCGGACAGAGGGATCGAATTCCATGCGCCTTTTAATGTTGAAGCGATTTACAAAGAAATTTGTTAAAGGCGCATGGAATCCCTTGCTTGGGTCTTGCTTAAGCTGGCCAATTTTGTCCATGGGGACAAGATATGCTGCTTCTTTCCGAATAATCTAGTTTTGAAATTCTGAGGTTGTTAGAATCAGAGATTTCTTGATTTTAAGATTCTGTGCCATGGAGGTTTTGAGGTTGCAAGGTTCTAATGAAATTTTTAAATAATAGAATATTATCCATGGATAATTCGCTTTTCAGAAAATCGAGGAGATAATGGAGGTCAAGAAGAAGGCCTCTGTCAATTAATGAAGTTGCGCAATGATCTCGTTTATTCTTTTGGTTCTATTCTGGATCTTACCCTTGATAATCTTTCTTCGCGAATTATTCATCTCATTTTTGTGTTTCTTTGGTTCAACCAGTCACATTTCATTCATTTTGGCTTTGTGCTCCAGGTTTACCATCTGAAATTCTGAAATTCTGATGTTCTGAAATTTAGAGATTCTGAATGTATGAGATTTTGAGATTTTGTGATTTCAACCCTTTTCTTACGTTTTTTGTAAACTCGCCCGTAACACAAATGAACTTTATTCGGTGACTTTGATTTCCGTCATGGGTAAAGAACTCGAAACATTAGACATTTTCAGAAGTATTAAGACTAATGAGTTATTTTTACAATTGACATTTTCGTCTCCTAGATGGAAAATGCAATTAATTCTTGATGTATCGGAAATAATAAAATGTTTGAAAAAAGAATGTTTTGGGAGAGAGTGAGAGGGACACTGGTGTATCTAAATGGAATTTCAGGGCTGAGAATTTGGTATATCAGAGAGAAAAAGAGAGAAGTGTTATGCAGTGCAAGAATGCGGCATACAAAGCGGTATCTAAACTGGGTAATCTAGAAGCTAGCTTTGTAAATGGAAAGGATAATCTGAGATTATTAAGAAATACACCCCTATAACCCAGTCCATAGGCAATTCATAAAAAAACAGAATATTATGATTTGATTTCGAGGGTAGCTCAGAATTTCGTGGCATACTGGGCACTGTAGTCCGGATATTGTGCAAACACGGCGTGGTGATGGTATTGCTGCTGATATTGGTTGTAGTCCGGATACTGCTCATATCCCTGGTACTGTGGGAAATCGTAATTTGGATACTGTGGGGCTTGGAAGTGTTGCTGGAAGCTTTGATGCTGTGATACTGGTGGCGGTGCTGGTGGCGGCATATGAGCTTGGAACATTTGATTGTAATTGTTGTAGTCGCTGGTGGTGCAGTTGTTGTTGACCAAACCATCTTTCTGAAATCTCAAAGTTGGCAAATTTTTTGCGTTTCTAAAAAGTACTGAATCGAGTATTCCGAAAGTAAGTTTTGAGAAATCCAACTATAACATTATAATTTGACTATCCCACCGCATTTCCTCTAATAGAAGCCCACCCTCCGAAGTGCTTAAAAACTTATGTAGAAGCGTACCTTCTAAAAGAAGTTTGTGCAGTTCAGTTAGTGCAATTTGAAAGATTCAGTTCGTCTACTCGTTATTGTAGACATTTTCTTTCTATTTTAAGAAATTTTTGGCAATTTCAATTTTTGTTAATTTTCTAAAAAGGAGTTCGAAAAATAGAAGCTTATATTAGAGGAAATAGGTCCACAGAAATAGTGGTTTTGAGATTCTGAGATTCCGAGAATCTGATTCTGCGATTCTGAGATTTTTAGATTTTAAGATTCTGAAATTCCGAAACCCTGAGATTATGTGATTCTGATATTTTGTGATTCTAAGATTCTGAGATTCTGAGGATCCGAAATTCTGAGATTTTGAGATTCAGTCTTCTAATATTCAAAGTTCTGAGATTCTGAAATTCTGAACTTCTCCAGAATTCTTCGATTTCTTTGAGAATTTCAATGAATTTCAAAAAGCGGGAAAAATGATGGAACACTTATTCCAGACCCTAGTTGCCTAATTTTTAAAAAACTCAATATATGATCACTTCATGGTTTAGTGACTTCAATGTGATCTTTTTAGTCAAATAGGAGAATGTCAATTGTATGATGTCTGCAATTTTTAACGATCTCGTTTTTGAAATCAGTTGAACTATAACAAATTTTATCCTTCATGATATTTTTTTCTACAATAAACTTTGTTCTTCCACTAAACCCTTCTTTTCGTTTTCCGTTCTCAGAAAACTGACATTCGCGCCCCCAAATTTAGTCATTGGATTCAATTACCCGGATTTCTTTGACGTGTAGTCTGAAATTCAGTGTTGATTCCTTTTTCACCTATCATAAATCATGTTTCGCTTAGTCACAGAAAAAAAAACATTGAAGTTATTTCGAACACCGTTGGTTTCTTGGTCCCAAAATGATGTCATGTTCGGAGTTCTCATGTTTTCGGAAGGTCGCGAGGAAACCAACAAAGATGATGCAATGGGAAAATGTGCTACAGTAACCCGGCTCACTCACGTTCTCGTCGTTTTTGTCCTTCTTGGAAGTCTTCCGACGTTTCATCTTTTCTTCTTGACGCTTTTTCTGCTGCTCATCCTCCGACTTCAATTGCTCAGTTCTCTCTGCCATGGCAGCCTCAGCCTCATCCTTCATCTAAAACTTGGGGAATATGTATTCGGAAAAAAACTCGGCTAACTTGTGCTAGACATTATAATCAAATCGGCTAATAATGTTCAAGCACTAATCTGTCAGATTTTTGTGTCTATCCATATATACAAAAAAAAGAGTATGATAAGAAGTACACCTAACTTGTTTACTTTTTCGAATGTACTACTCTTCCTTTTCAGCTGTGGAAAATTGTTAGGGAGAATGTGTCAAATGATTACTGTAGCTCAAAAAATAGTTTTAGCAATTATAAGGTCATAAAAGAACATTTGATTACTGTAGCTAGATGATGAACTGAAACTTTGAATAATTACTGTAGTTAGTTTTAAACAACCCAGAATTTGACAAATTTTCTATGTAGGCAAAACCTGAAAACGTGATATGTCGTGAACCTTACTGTAGTTTGAGAGAATATCCCTGTATCAAAATAAAGAAAATCCCTGTAAAATATGACTCTAGCATAAAAGAATACTAATGTAGATTTAAGATAAGATTACTGTAGCCTAAGAGGATATTACTGTGGTTTGAGAAAATATTACTGTAACTCATTGAAATAGATTAAGGAAAATTATAAAAACCAAAAATGATCGTTACTCTTACCTTTGTCAACAGTCTTTGTCTGCGTAGCTGAAGCGGTCCAAATTTGAAATTCGGTCCATAAATCGACATTTTCCGAGACTGATTGAGCACAACCACTGGTCCAGGTCCAGTGCCCACTGGCTCCATATCATCCTCACTCTGTTCCGTACTTGAACGTGGAACGCTGTTACCCTCGTTCTGGTCGCCGTTCATTTTCGGGACTCTGAAATTCAACAAAGTTTGCTTAAAGGGCAAGAAAAGGTGGAAACAAGGGAAGAAAGGCAAAAATGAAAGTCAGCTAAAAAAGAGAACGCGAGTGGCACTTGTCTTGGATTGAAAAAAGAAGCTCCGCCCCCCCGAGCACTGCCCAATTTTCCATCCTTTTCTTCTCCGATTTTATACTCCGTTTATTCTTCGCTTTGCTTTTGATTTTATTTCATGCTTTTTTCTTTCTCCCTGTGACACACATGAGATGGTTTGATTGAGAAATGGGAAGATTGAAAAATGTAGAATTGATGGGAAAAGAAATCCTGGACGGAGCTCGTGCGCAAAAGGAAAAACTGAATGACGATGGGCAATGGCCGTGACGGGGGGTCCATGGAGAAGAGGAAAAAGAAATGAAAAATGAAAAAAAAGGAACTCTTCATTCATCAATCTTTTCTTCCGTCGTCCCGGGGGTCGGCTTTCTCAGGAAGATGGAAAAAGGAGGGAGAGAGGAAGATAGAATTTGAGAAAGTGCTCCTTCTAGTATTGGAAAAGTGTAATGTGTTGCTGTTTCTTGTGTCTTATCAGTCTCCTGGTGAGTGATAAAAAAAAGAAACGGTGACCACGTGACGCACAAGAACGCACTCGAGTTTCCCGATTGCGGTCATTTATTACTTGAGAATGGCACAAGGATTTTTTTGTCTCTATGGGCAAACACGGAAAGAATTGACGTGGAACTGAACGAATTTAAGAATTTAGGAAAAGTTGATAGGCAGCAAATTCTTTTTCAATTCTCACCGATTGAACGGCGCAAATATAATTGATCATGGGTTCTAAAAATTGTGGGAATGTTGTTTTATTGATAAATGTCATTCTGGAAGTTCAAAGGAATCTAATTGGATCCTTTCTGATCAACTGATAGTTTCATTTTTGAAACTATCAAAGGAGAGAGAAGAAAAGAAATTTTTCAGAAAAAAAAGAAGAAGAAGAAGAGAAACCGAATCGGAAATGGCACGGTGAGAGAAAAGGAATCTGTTTGATTCATCTTCTTTTCTTTTGCGATGATCATGTTCATTTCCATTCAATTCTCGCCTATTTCTTTCCCATCAACAAACTGTTTCTTTTCTTTTTGAAAGTTTAGATAAATGTTAACAGATCGGCAATAAACCAAGGGATACAATGACATGAAACAAGTGAAAATCACGTGAATGCCAGAAATAAAAAAGACCAGATAGGTCAAAAAGAGATAGTGTGAAGTTCTGAACTAAATTCGGACAGCATACACCGAGTAATCTATAGAACGATCAACGACTATGTGCGAAATTTTTTCGAAATATCACAGAAAAAAAGAGTGAGTGGCGAACAGCATAAGAACGGAACTGAAAACGCACCTAATTGTCGGCTGTCACGGTTTTTTCAAGCTGAAAAGTAGTTTTTTGCCTTAATTGAGACTCTGAAAATGCTGTCAATTTTCGGAATGAAGGAGAGAATTTTAGGATGGCGGAAAGGAAAAGGAAGCCAGAGGTGGGGAATCGTGAAGACTAAAAATTCTAGAAAATTTCAGAATTTTGGTAAAGAGTTCGCATTTCAAACTGATTTAGAGGACAAATATTGAAGTCAAAATATGAGCCCACAGAAACAGAAAAAAAATCAATTCTACCAGACTGGTATAACAAATCGGTAGAGCTGATAAAGGAGGTCCCAGAACAAAGACAATAACCTGAAACTATACAAATTTTAGGTTAATGTAGTTCTTGTCCTAGCACTTTCAGCCTACAACGTTTCTCCTTCCACTGAGCATATTTTTTTGAAAAAAACAGTATGATAGATAGTTTAAGGTATATCTGAGAAGGTATACGGTATATCTGACAGAAAGAGAGATACATGTTCCAAGCTTTAAAAAGAAGAGGAACAGAAACTCGCGGGCAAATCAATTCTTACTGTTCGTCTGCCAAGACGAGTAATTGTGAGAAGATAGGGGAAGAAAAAACACATTAGAAACCGAGCAGTAAGAGGGCACCATCGAGAGAGAAAATAGAATGCACCTTAGGTACACGCAGACAGTGCAACGGACAGTCCGCGGGGCGAGAGAGGGACACCCGATGGGGTTGAAATAGTCCTCCCCGTCGTCGCCCCTATCTCTCGCTTTTTTTTTGTACGGTTGGGGCGCCACACATTGTTCTAACAAATATGATGACTGACGGACTGGGCAGCGTCTACTTTCTCCTCTGTGTCGAGAGACTAAGCAAACTTTGGATTTCACTTTTTTTTTCTTCTCGCTCCTCGTTCGTCGTATATGATGTTGATAGACAGAGATAAAACAAGGAGGGAATAGTGTTTTGTAACCGGGAAGAGTCAGGATGATAGGGCGGTGAAGGAAGAGCGGAAGGAAAAGAGCACGTGGATCCGAACCATAACATCATGAGATGCAGGTGGGAAAACATTGTGAAAACATTGTCTAATGAACTGACATATTCAAACAAAAACGTGATACAAAACAAGCCAATCATCAAATTGGATGTTGAGTGGATCGAGTAGAAGGTTCTGGAAAGTCTCGAAATGCTTCTGAAGCTGGAAATCTTCCGAAAACTATTAACTAACATCGAAAAATTCTGGAGAACTTTTTCATGACTTCAAATATGGATCTTTTTGAATAGTAATGCCTAAAATTATAGACACGAAATTGTGCTCTTTTCTAGTTTGGAAGTCCGAAAAAAAATGAGAGGCTCCAAAAAAGTTTCGAGGTCCCAAGAAAAAATAGAGGTTCGAAATTTGAAACACACGCCGTTATTGCAATAATGTACAAGAATTCAAACTGTGTAAGAAATTAAAATTCTAGGGTTTTATGAAAAAAATAATGTTGATGATATATTTTATACTGCTAATAGGCTTAGGGATGCAGATTTTCTGAAAATTATAGTGAGGACACAGCAAATCAGTACCAAAATTTTGAAATTCATTTTGAACATTCAAACAACTTTTTGAAAATACGTCTTTTCTTCTTCACCTTGTCAGATGCATGTCAAAACATCACTCACAATTTTGGTTTATTGCTCACAAATTACTTATCTGATGACGATAACAATACCTAGAACGTTTGAAAAGGGGGCTGAGCTTTGCGGGAAGGATTAGGCCAGGTGTGCTAAGCCCCGCCCCTTTACACTCTATACGGGCTGAAAAATTCAGTTCAGTTGTTCGACGTTTGTGAAAGTAGGCCAGTTGGGTAATGGGCTAGTTGGTCTGATCGTTCAGTTGGACTTCGGTTCATACTGGAAGAGCTTATCACTAGAACAGGACTCATACTGCAAATACTGATCAGACTGAGGACACCGTTCGACGTTTGTGAAAGTAGGCCAGTTGGGTAATGGGCTAGTTGGTCTGATCGGTCAGTTGGACTTCGGTTCATACTGGAAGAGCTTATCACTAGAACAGGACACACACTGCGAATACTGATCAGGCCGAGGACACCGTTCGAAGTTTGTGAAAGTAGGCCAGTTGGGTAATGGGCTAGTTGGTCTGATCGGTCAGTTGGACTTCGGTTCATACTGGAAGAGCTTATCACTAGAACAGGACACACACTGCGAATACTGATCAGGCCGAGGACACCGTTCGAAGTTTGTGAAAGTAGGCCAGTTGGGTAATGGGCTAGTTGGTCTGATCGGTCAGTTGGACTTCGGTTCATACTGGAAGAGCTTATCACTAGAACAAGACTCATACTGCGAATACTGATCAGACTGCGAACAATGGGTTTTAGAAGGTGATCCCATTGGAAAATATACCTTGTTTCCTTTTCATGTACTGAGCCTCTACGTGGCGAAAGGGATCAACAGACGAGAGTCTGGTTAATCAGTACCAAAATTTTGAAATTCATTTTGAATATTCATCAGATTCCATTTGAAATTAGTTTTAGTCTCACCGCAATGATTCATTTTTATAGAAGGTGCGTTTTATTATAAAGTAAGTTTTTTCAAAAACAACTTTTTGAAAAGACAAATTTTTGAAAATATGAGAACGTGGTCTGAAAGGTTCTCGCTCGCTGCGGTCGGCAATCTCGGTTCCTATAAAAGCTATCAAAAATCTGCCAACTGATAAAATATTTTAAACATTTTTGCAATGAGTTATTTTGGTATCTTTTCCAGGAAATGAAATAAGTGAGCTTAAGTTGAGCCAATCGGGCGGCCGCTCATGCGACCATTTTGCTTGCATCTCAATTATTTCGGTTCCTATGCATGATATAAAAAACTTGTCAACGGATAAAATGTTTGTCCCAATGTCCCCAATATTTTATTATTGGACTCACTTTTTGTGTATCTTATAGAAATGGAGATAACTGTGAACAAAGTAAAGTAAAGGTATCAGAAAAACGGATAACCAAATTCAATAAATGTTTTCCATAATTTCCTCACCTCCAAAACTGCCTATAACAAAAAAATTGGCTAACGTAAGCCTGAAAGACAGCGTATTCACGGAGGCATCACTGTTTGCCGACTTTTTGCTCATTTATGTAAATTAGGGTCCATCAGAAAGACAAAAAAGAAATAGATCTGAATTTGTTAAAAGAAGTTATATTTCTGCACTTATCAATCTATAGAGCCTCAAAACGCAAAACTCCAAGTTTTGGTACATTATTCCAATATCTGTGCGTTTTTCAAATTTCTGACCTCTACGTTTTCTTGGGACCTCAAATTTTTTTCGGACTTCTAAATTTTTCTCTGCTCCCTAGCTGGCTCCGATGTTTTCTTTTCTCGTCTCCCTTTCTGAAGCAGCGGCAATCTATTCGAAAGCACACGTCATCTTTCCTTTCGCTTTCCCTTGGCTGGAAAAGCCTCATTATTGAAGAGTGGAAAAAACGGAGAAATGAAAATCAAGGGAACTGTGGTTTCCATTTTTGCTTTTATGCATTTTTTTCCATACTCACCCATTGTGCTCATGTTTCAATAAAAATCGTTTAGGAAGATGACCTCTTATTGCCCAGCATGCGGAAAACTAGTTTATTTTGCCGAGAAGATCTTCGCACTTGGAGCCGACTGGCACAAGTCATGCTTCAAATGCACAAACAAGGAGTGTAAGAAAATCCTTACTCTCGGGAAGCAGGTCGATAAGAATCAGAAGCCATACTGTGCACATTGCTATGATGTCTACTTCGGACGGACCCAATACAAGCAGCAATTTGTCAAAATTCATGATTTCGCAGGAGAAGACACCGAGGAGGACTAGTGAGCTAGGATTTTCAGTTTTAAATTGGCCGTCTGCTCGTCTGAATCATTTTCTTATTTTTTTTACTATTAAATGAATATATTTTGAGAATTCAGAATTGATGTGCTTCTATCGGCAGCATCAGAGATTTGAGAATTTTAGGTTTATCTCCAATAATAACCAACAAATCAGTGTCCTAAAATTGAGAACATTTTCATTTAAAGCAACTTTGCATTTGACAGTAAACAATCAAAGGGATTTAAACAATTACGGTACACATTCAATCAAAGGAGGGAGGTCAATGACTTCTTTTGAGCTGCCTGAGATTTCAAGACGTACACAACCAAGCATAGGCGAAATGCTCAATATTGGTTATTTTAAAAATGGTGAACCTTCTATTAGAGGTTCTCAATATTATAAATTACGGGACAAATCCCATTTGGAATTTTTGGGGGTGGATAGAGAAAGAGAGTTCGGGGGAGAAAATGCTTGTAATTAATTGTACAAGGAATTAAAAGATTGATTTTTGGCGGGGTTGAAAGTATTTCAGTCAGGTACTTAATACTTGTAATGGTGAGGGGATGGGAGTTTACTTCTCCTGAAGAGGCTGGACAGCGCTCTCGGCTTGAAGAGTGATACGGTCCTTGTTCTGGTTTGACAGTTCCTTGGCCTTGTCAGCCGTTGCACGGTTTCCACGTTCTGCTTCCAGACGCTTGTAGACTGGTTTGAAGAGCACGACAAGGGCAAGGACGAGAAGAGTGGCCAGCAGAGAGAAGATCTGAAAACGATGGAAAGTTATGTGTATTCTCATCTATCTGTTTTGCTGAATTCGATCAGAAACTAAAAATGTTTGACATTGCCCGTGACCGCAGCATTTTGATTGAGGTACTTCTGGGATAGATAAATACCGCGGTCTTGCGGCCCAAGCGGTTTCAGGGTCACTGGCAAGGCTGTGCCAATCACGACCGCGACCTGTCGTGGGTAGGTTGCCGTGGACCAAACAGTGCGATCTTTACGTTCATCGACCCAGAAACTAGAAGGGCCGCTAGACCGCCGTATCCTGTCTATCTCAGAAGCACATTACCCAAAACTTCGCGGACAGACATGACACAGGCTTAGTCGCTGGGCTTGTTTTTAAAAAATACGGACTGGTTGGTCCACGGTGACCTTCTCACGGCTCGAGTCCCAGACGGCCGCGAGCGGCCACCATTCGCAAAACCATGATCATGATCACGAACTTCTTTCCCTAAACTCTCAAAACTTAAAAACTTACCATGATCGACATGGTGTTATCCTTTGGTGTGTTGACGGTGTCATCTGGAGTGAGCTGGCAGACCTGGATGTGCATGCGATCTGGTTGAAGTGGGCGAGCAAAGTTCTTCATGATGAAGACGTAGATCACACTCTGGATTTGTCCAGACAACACGATGAGTCCGGTAGATGTAGCCTCCGACACTGGGAACGTGCACTCCGAAGCCAATTCAAGTCCAATTGGGTAGGTGGCCAACCCGAGAACTCCGAAGAAGAGGCAAGTGATAGCCAGGAAAACTGAAAGTCCTTGATGAAGAGTGAGCTGGAGGAAGATGAGTCCGAAGATGACGGCGGCTCCAAGAGCAATCTTGAGGGTCTCCTCGTAGAGTTTGGTTCGGTCGACAAAAAATCCACTAGCAGCTGCTCCGAACACTCCTCCGACAATCATCAACGCGGCGCACACTCCGGAGAAGAAGTTCGAGTATCCCGATGGGCACAAAAGTTCAAGCATAACGGTGTAGAGGCAGTTGAACATTCCGATTCCACCACCCATGACAATGAGAAGGATAATGTATTGCTTGGAAGAGAAGCACGACTTCATTCCAGATACAAAGTCCATTTGTGGCTTGCTAGCACTGAACGTTGGTGGGATCTTTGGCTCACTGCGATTGACTCAAACTGCAAGGAAAAAATTGATTAGCATGAAATGAGTGAAAAATGGATGCTCACTGTAGCAATGAGCATAGCAGCTAGGGATGGCACACATGTGAAGATGTTGAGCCAGATGACGTGGTCCGGGGACTTGACAATAGCTGGACTGATCAGGTTAGCCATGAGTACTCCAAGTGGGTTGGACATGACTCCAATGGTGGTGGCGATGGCACGTTGAGTGTCTGGGAACCAGGATCCGGCGACCTGAAAATTGTAATAGTTGAGGTTGAGGAATTGAAGAGTCGGTGAAACTAGCTTCTGATGGGAAGCCTAGAAACACCAGGAAGACCGAAATAGTGAAGATGGCAGCCAGAAACAGAACTGCTCAGCTCAATGTACTCATTAAAGTAGTGTCCGTCGCGACCCAACAAGTACCATATCATAAAGTACCATTAAGTATCACTACCGTACAAGTATCAAGTAGATCCAACTTCGCCAGTTTCCAAAATTCCTAGGAAACACCATTTTTGGGGGAATAGCTTGAAGACTAGCCCCATTTGGGTTCCGGCTGGCGTCCATGTGTTTCATTGAGCATCATTACGGCCCACTATGAGCAGAAATCTGCTTCGGAAACGGCATACGCTGTCTCAAATGATTCCACTACTCATTTCAACAGAGAACAGATAATGCTCCCTTGATATGCTCATGAACCCACCCCGGAACTCCATGACGTCTAAAATTCTATCATTTTTCCTACCTTGGTCGGCAAGAACATGATGAATGGATAGGCGATGGCGGCGATTCCTTGTCCAGTCATACAGATTGGGAAGCGAAGGTCCTCTGGGACAAAGTCGAGAGACGAGATCACTCGAATGACTGCTCCGATTCCGTTGGTCCATCCAGCAATGAGAATGGCAGTACGAAGACCCCATTCACGACCGGCCCACATGGCGAAGAGTCCAACTGGGATTGTGCACAACATGTAGATCATGGAGAGCCTGAAAAACATGGCCCGAGTTAATAATTTGTCTCTCGAACTTCAACTCATTCATGGCTAGGTCATTACATTATCTCACCAGCCTAAGCACACACAATGAGGAATAATCCTAGTTTTATCAGCCTGGGAACAGTCTAATCGCTAAAGGAAACTTGACTACACATACTGATAGCAGTCTACTAATGTGTCTAGTACTCCCGAATTGGGGCTTTTGAGCTGGCAGAACGTTTTCTGGAGATCGGAGTCGGCTGGGAGATTTTTTTTTGAAGGCCTCCAAGCCCCACTACTAGCTATACAACCTGATTCTCAAGGTTTAACTCACCAAGCAGCACTGCTTTCTCCGTAGAAGCTGTTGACGTAGTTTCCAGACGGCGCGTATCCGATCCAAGACATTGTGTTGGTGTTGTTCAGAAGGGCCACCGTCAGAAGAACAATCCATCGTTGCTTGTAGACACGAAGCTGGATCTGGTCTCCAATCTCCTCATCAGCTCCTTCTGCTCCATCGGCGTGAGCTCCGGACTTGTTGAGTGGCTGGAGTCGAATGTCGACTTGTTCCGCACTGATCGGACCATCGTCAGCGCCCATTTCGCTTGAGTTCTGCTGTTGTTACCCTGGAAACATGGATTTTATTGGGAGAAGCGGAAAAGGGAGGTTTCAAGTGGAAAGAGAAACGAGGTCGTCAAGGGCGACAAGAATAATGGGACAGGTGCATCTTGAGAGACATTGACATCTCCTTAATGCATAGAAAATGACCAGTAAAACCCCAACCAATGTCCTATGTAACCCTGATAGAAAAGTGCGCATTCTAAGGTGAAAGAAAATGAGTCATTTTTTGAGACTACTATATTTGTTCTTTTTTTTCGTACGCTATTGTTTGACGAGTCAGTAGAGAGAAATAGGGGGTTACTTTTATTGATTTTCACGTCAGGAAACTGCCAAGAAAAAGAAAAGAATTCGAAATCCAATTTGGAAAAATGGATGGAAGAAATCGCCTCGTGTCAAACAAAACGAATATAAGGGAGATATTTTGGTTTTTCTGTCTCGGCTGGGAGGGGAGGATGGGCCTAATCACGCCATTCAATCTTTCTTTTTCGAGGGCACTAGGTCTCGTCTTCAATCACCTTTTTTTTTTGAAAATGAAATGCAGAAAATTAGGTACGATGAAAATGATAAAATTTACGACCCTCAATCAGTTCCAACTGGCAACTGATTGACATTTCTAGGCAAATTGGAAGCCAAGGGAGCCAAAAATGACTGTATACACACCTTGGACTTGTATTTCGAAACTTGTGGCTAACTTCGGAAAGGCAAATACACGAAAAACGTGAAGAGGAAGCGGTGAGATGGAATTTTGAGCGGACGGAAAGAACTCGTACACATATAGAGTAGCGAATGGTGGTGGTGGTGTGTGTGTGCAGTGTTTTTTTGCTAGCCTATGTCTTTAGGGAGTGGGGTGGCGGTGGTGGAAGAAGACTGGATGGCGGGAAGAAGAAAAACTTGAAAATTAGAGAGTAGAAAACATAAAGAGACTCGAGGAGTTTTTTTTTCAAATAGAAACAGCCTAGTCATCCGAGAACAAGGAAGATGCGAAACGTTTTTTTTGAAACATTTCTCTTTTCTTTTTCTCAATTTTCACTGAATTTTCAAGAAGAAAACCGAAATTTGGATCTATAAATCTCATAAATATCGACAACATTCTATTAACTGCACTAGAGCTACACAAACCTATGATGACCGATGACCACTGACCCCACACGTGGCGAATTATCGATTTTTCACATGTAAATGCTATCTAGGCCCTATAGGCAATGCACACACGTTTTCTGTGTTTCTCCAACAAAAAAACTATCAAAAAACTCATCGCCGACAAAAAACCTATTCTTATCACTGCAGAAAACTGACAAGAAACCAACGCGGTATCACCCGAAAAAAAAAGAAAGAAAAAAAAAGAGGTGAGAGGAAACCTGCGGAGAGAGCGATAATAGTGCAAACGAGGAAGAGAAAGCAGTATCGGACTGAATGGACAGTGTGTGCGCAAATGTTTGTTCGCGGCCTTCCTCGGTCCGCAATACGCCACACCTGACGATAAAATGCGGAGACGGCACCCGCGCGCGCGTCCGCGCGGAGAGACGAAGAGAAACGAGGAGGGTGGAAGACAGTGTGGGCTGTGCGGTAGGACTAGGAACGGTTTGGGGAGGAGGGGAAGAAGAAGGTTTGATCGAGTGTCTGGATAGAAGTGAATAAAACATATTATTTTAAAAAAAAACCCACTCAAAAATAATGGTATAAATGTTAAAATGCCTTGTTCTGCACTGTTCCGTTCCAATTGAGTTCTGCTAAATTTTCCTGAAGACTGATAAAGCAAATTTTTGCAAATGACATAATTTCTATACAAAAATGTAGGGCAAAAAAAGAAAAAAACACGAACTCGTCGCCAAGAAGTACTTCGGAGAGAAGGGCATGAAGTTTTTTAGTAAGGAATAGGTCAGTCAATCTCAGGGAGCTAAAAAACGGAGTTATCAAAAGTTATCAAGCTCAGGACGTCAACATTGCTGTATATTTCGAATATTCATACTTGATTACAAATTCAAAAAGCTGAAACTGACTATTTTGTTCAATTTTCTGGAAAAAATAAACTGATGAGAACAATGTTAAGTGAACTTATAAATTTTATTATCAATTTCAAAAAAAATTTAGAATTCCAAATTTGGATTTTCTGAATGTAAATAAGGTCATTGGCTCAAAGCTTTGCCTATTTGTATGATTTCAAAAGCTACTTAAAAGAAAACTCGAAGTTTCGTTGGATTTGAAACCAGAAAAATGTGATAAAAGAAGAGAGAAAGACCACGTGGCCACTGAACATCATATCAATACATTCTCAAAGATCACCAGAACTAGTAGGTATCATTGATAGTGATAAAATATTTGTTTTCCTGACACAAACATACCCGTGTGGTCTGTGAATTGGTGTCTATAAGCGAATCGAAGCGAAAAATGGAGACAATTAGTACTAATTCAATTTCAGGATGCACAATGTCGACTTTGGTTTCTGTCAACTTTCAACTTTGGTTGCTTTGATGCTTTGGTTGCTCAGATTTATCATTTTTGCACCAAAAATCTAACAAGAATGTCGCGATCATTATAGCATACCAAATGAGAAGTCATGTCATTGTTATTGTTTATTCAATGACCAACTGTGTTTTGCTTCATTAAGACAGAAGCGAGAATTAAAAAATTGAATCTTGGAATGGAGCAAGCCGGAGCCGGAAGTGTTGGTTTTTCGCTTGAATCCCGAACAAAAAATTCGAGATCTATGTCACAATTGTCCACGGAAAAGTTCAAACTGCTCGGGTTCTTTTTTCCGGTCCCCTCTTTTTTTGCTATTTGTCACTTTTGATATGAAATCCCAGAAAAATCAGCCAGCTGACAGATGGCTTTTCCATCAAAAAGGTGTTCGGTGGGAGCTTGAAAGTCCCCACTTTATTTTTCAATTTACAAAAGAAGGACCCCTCTGTTTTTTTCATTTACTTCCTCGAGGAACGAGCGAAACAAAATCACAAACATATCAACAACTTTTCTTCTTTTTTTCCGGGATTTGATTTTTATTGTCTAGTTGTTCCTTCAATAACCTATTTTTTATGAAACATGCGGTAAACACTCTCATAGAACTCCACCCCAATCTTAAAATTTAGGCTCATGTATCTCATTTTCTGTAAAAGATAACAAAAAGTGGCGAACTGACAAAATGTTTATCATTATATCAGCAACGTTTTATCAATTGACCACTTTTTGATATCGGTCACAGAAAACGAGAAAAATGAGCTCAAAGTGAATAGTTTGGGTGGCGTTCTATTAAATTATTTACGGTATACATGTTTTTTTCCGATAAAATGTTTCTCATACTTTAAAAACATATGCTCATGGTCGAAAATTTGTTTCCGAAATTTTTTTTTTCGAAAATGGGTCCCACGAAAAACTTCCCAAAATTTTTTTTCCTGGGAATATCGGGAAAAATTGGGAACTAAACTTTCGATGATTTTTTGCCTATTCTTTTTAATGGAATAGACAAAAGATGTATAAAAAAAGCATACGGTAGTTTTTCGACTTTTTTATTTCTCAATTACGACACATCGAACGAAAAAATTCCGAAAACACATTTTCTGCATTTTTCGGAACAACGGTATTTCCGATTTTCTCGCTTTCCGGCTTTAAACCAGACTGGTACCTATTTCTATGTTGATGACACATTCTATCTCATCTTATCCTCTCCTACATACCCCATCTCCAGCTATAAAGTCCTTTTTTCAGATTCTTTCACTCTTTTTTTTTGTTTTCAAGACGCGTCCTCTCTTATAGAGTAGAAAAAGAAAAGAGAAAAAAAAATGTTCATTGGGTAAATGGAACTTTTTGTGGCCATGTTTTTTTTCTTGTGGTGGTCCTAGCACAGAATTACATTTCTAGCATTCACTTCCACCAATTGCTGTTCCAATAGAATTTGTTGTTTCTCGCCGATCCAGTATCATCCTCTCGTTTTTCGTCTCGATTTGCTTTTGATGGTTGGGCATTCCAGATTCCGCCAAGTTTCTGAATAAGTGAACTTTGCGAAATTCTGAGAAAACTTAAAAGTTTCGTGATTTTTGAGGTTAAAACCAATTATTATTCCAAAAAAAAACCACTCAGGATTTCATAAACTTCCGTTACCTCTTCCGGCGCTCGCTTGAAATTTGAAAAATTTCAAAAACCAAATAATAAGAGTCAAAAATAACTCACAATGCTGTCCTCGGCCAGTTGTTGAAAAATATTCTTCTTCTTGATTGTTGCTTTTTCTTCTGATTCTTCCTTTTTGCCTGTTTCCATTTTTTGGCACAAAATATAATGAAAATTTTCTTAATATGTCACAGTTTGCCTGATAGCTTCATGCATGTACAATGCACCATTCTGATAAGTTTTCTAGAAATTGTTTCTTCTTTTTTCTTCTTTTCACATTCACAATTTCTCATTTCCCCAAGTCTTATTCAATTTTGGGGTTCTTCTTCTCTTTTCCGGTTTCTGATTTCGTGGAAAATAATTCGGGGAGAATGAGACAGACACTGTGAAGCCAAAGAGAGCGTTCGGAAATTATTTCGATTGTTTTCGTTCGAAAAATGAACATTGATGTTTTCATGACCTTTTTCGAGGTGTGGATGGGCAATGGGGTTTTATCGAATTTGAATTTCCGTGAAGGTTTGTCTTCTGGAGAAGTTGCTTTATTCTGTTTTTTGGTGAAGCGTTTTTTTGCGTAGAAATTTCTAGAACACATTTCTAGGGAGCAGTCCAGAGTTTTCGTGTTTTTCAGACCCAATTAAAGGTATAATCTTTTAATTTTCAAAAATTCAAAAATTCAGAATTTTCGGAAATTTAGAAATTTAGAAATTATTAATTTTTCGAAAATCAGAAATTCAGAGTTTTCGGAAATTCAGAAATTCAGAATCTCTTAATTTTTAAAAATTCTGAAAAATGTAAAATTTTCGGAAATTTAGAAATTTAGAATATTTGGAAATTCAGAAATTCAAAAATTCAGAAATTTTGGATATTTAGAAATTTAGAAATTCTCAATTTTTGAAAATTCGGAAATTCAAAATTTTTGCAAATTTAGAAATTTAGAAGTTATTAATTTTCGGAAAATCAGAAATTCAGAGTTTTCGGAAATTCAGAGACTCAGAATTCCTCAATTTTCAAAAATTCAAAAAATTAGAATTTTCGGAAATTTAGAAATTATTAATTTTCGGAAATTTTTAAAAATTCAGAATTTTCGGAAAATTAGTAATTTAGAATATTTGGAAATTCAGAAACTCGGAATTTTCGGATATTCAAAAATTTAGAATTTTGGAAAATTCAGAAGTTCGAATGCTTTGGAATCTCAGAACTTTAGAAATTTAAATTTTCAAAATTTCAGAAATTCAGAAATTCAGAATTTTCGCAAATTCAGAAATTTAGAATTTTTGAAAATTTAGAAATTTAAAATTTCTTGTGTGTGTTTTCAGCCGCCAACAACTTCCGATGTTCCAAGCATTCCCACCATTCCACCTAATTGATCTTCGATTCTCTGACATTTCATCTGCTCCAGACATAGCCAATCTAATTTTTGACATGTTTTCCTGATTTTTTTTTCGAAAAAAAAAACAGAACCGCTTTTCCGAACCGACAAAAATAAAAAAAGGGAACTAATAAATTAGTTCGCTATTTTTTCTCTCACTTAATCTTGAAAAACAAGTTGAGAGAAAAAAGAAAAAAAGAGGAGAGAACTAGTAACAAAGGTCTCGAACTTTCAACGTAACTCAATCTCTCGCCGACCACAATTTGCTTTTATCACTTGAAAACAAAAAGGCTCTCTCGGAGGTATCATTTTCACCAGAATTCTCGCTTTTTTACCGGTGAAATTCTAGAGGTTTCTTTCTAGGAAATAGCTGTATCAAAATATCTCTGCCCTGTCTGATAATTTTCCGAACTTTTTCCCCAAACTCTCTTCTTCTTCTCATTTTCAACATTTCGCATTTTTCACCTTTCTCTCAATTGCCTTTCTAATTAGACCCCATTTCTCCTTAATAGGGGCAAACAACAAGACACGAAACAAGAAACAAACTCAAGTGTACTTTTATTTCAGGAAAGGGGGTCCCTGAAAAAAAGCATACACATCATCATCATTGAGTTTTCTTGTTGTTATTAGTTTTGATGTGTTGTTGGATCCTCTAAAAAATCCTTAAATGAGCATCGACAAATAAAGAGATGATAAATAATAGTAGTTGAAAATATCAAACTAGATTTTCTGAGAACATTTTTTTCTAAGAACATCAGGTGCTTAGTGTGTTTGTCCAGATGAAATAAAATTTGATTTGTATCAATTTGGGATCATATTTTTTCTACATACAAGAACTTTATTCACACTTTTAGTAATAGTTCTATGAAATCATATGTTCAAAAAATTTTATGAAAAATCACGAAATCTTTATTTCTATAAAAAAATTAGATTGAATATGCAATGAACTTATAATAAGTACTTCTCGAGCTCTAATAGAACTTTGAGCTGCATTTTCTAAATTTTTGAAACAGATACCATTTTTTTTCACCTTTGTTTGATATTTTTGGATTCTCAATATACCGTAAACACTAATAGAACGCCACCCGGACCGCCCTTTTCTGAGCCTATATATCTTACTTCTTTGAAAAATATCAAAACGTTAACCAATTATAAAATGTTTATCATGATATCAGGAACATTTGATCAGTTGACCACTTTTTGATATCTTCCATAGTAACTGAGATACAGAAGAATATTGACAAGTCGGGTGGCAAGTCTATAGAGTGTTTACGGTATTTCACAGAAGCTGAGATGTATGCTTGAAATTATGCCGTTCTGTTAGAGTATTCATCATCCTATCAAAACTAATCTGAAAAAATACTTTGACCTATATAAGATTACTACGACGACATGATCCGTTTGATGATTGATGTCTCACTCCGTTTAAAACATGCATTCTCTTCTATTCTAACTCCGGTGCCCTTCGAAAAGATTAGCTCGCATTTTGCCATCTTGTAAGTCAAAAACCGGTCGAATAACCAACGAATTCTTTTCTCATCTGAATTTTTCTTTTTGCATTTTTCCTCTTTTTCGCTAAAAGTATGTCTGTGGCCAACATTGGTTGTGTTCAAATAATTCATACCTTGATGCACATAGTTGGACACCCCAAGCAACCAAACTTCCGCTGCTATTCTCGTGGAGTATATCTTTTTAGCATACATGTGGATGGCCTTTCAGAAAAATCTCAGCCCGGCCATGGCCCGGCCCGCGGGCCGGCTATTTTTTCCACAAGTATGCTTTTTAGTGCTTCTTCTTCTACTTCTCCAAAAAAGATATTTTTCTCACTTAAAATAAACTTCCGGTGTCAGAGAAGAACTTCTCACGAGTATAAAAGTTAAATTGAGATAGGAACAGATGAGGTCGCCACATTTTATGTGCTCAATTTACTTTTCCCATGCAACATCGCCTCCCATCCTATTTTTTTTTCTAGTTGGTGTGTGCTTCCGCATCAAATTCGCGCCTCCATCGTAGGTTATAACAAAATTTCCTCTCCCGCAATTTTCAAGAGAGGAGGGGCGTCACATGCACCCCGCAACTTTTTGACGTTAACAAGAATTTGGAGTTTACAATTCAATGTACTCTGTTGCATATGATGCACTTCAAAATAGCTTCTCAAGTTTTATTCCCAAAGATTTTGTGTTTTCTTAAACTTTAGAAGAGTGTCTGGCTGGAACTGGATGATGAATATTTCTCTTAAAGGCGGTCTTTTTTTCAAATTAGCAATCCAGTCATGTGTCTGACGGAATATTTTAATGATTCAGACATCTTGTCTCGTCTCATAGATACGTAGGAATTTTGGAAGTGTGTCGAGTAGCAAAAATGTTTGTTAAGGTGAGTATCAAGAATCATGGTGAATCTTAAAAGCAAGGTAGTTCCAGTTAATTTAACTTTCTGGCGTTTTTGTTCCTTTTTTCGAAAGTTTTTGTGTTTTGATGTATTTTAATTAGAACTATGTGTTAAAAAAGTTTTTGAAAAACTTAAAAATCTAGGAATTGAGTTAAAAACAATAATGAACATACTGTAAACACTCTAATAGAACGCCACCCGGACCGTCTTTGTCTGAGCCTTCTTATCTCACTTCTTTTGAATGATATCAAAAAGTGGTCAACTAGTGAAACGTTTATCATAATATCAGCAACATTTTATCAGTTTACCACTTTTTGATATCTTTTGCAGAAAATGAGATACATGGGCTCAAATTTAACGAAACGGGGGACGCTCTATTAGAGCGTTTATGGTATGTTTTTTTCGAGAATGAATGGAATTCCCGCAAATTCAATCATTCAATAAATTCTGATGGAAGTTAGTTTAAAGAAATGTAAGTATTGTGGGAAACATACGTTTTGAGTTCTTACCAAAATCCAGTGTTCTATTAAATTTTGCAGTTTTTCAACTTAAAAACTATCGATTTTTGATACAGATCGAATAAAATTAATAATTTTCACCTTTTCGTGAATACGGACTCTGAACACCAGTTTCTACTATATATTAATATCCTGAATTTTCTATATCATGAAATCTGGGACCCACATCATGTATGCAGTGCTAACACAAATTCAGATAAACACACGCTTAGGAAAACAAACTTAAACGCACGCAAGATGGCAAAAAACCCGCCCTCCTACACTTTTTCCCCATCCCCCAAAATGAAGTAGCTCGTTTCATTCCATCTATCTCTCTCGAAGAACGTTCAAAATGAGATTTTCGGATTCCAGCCGATCCCCCCTCCCTCTTTCATTCAGAAATGTCCCTCTGAATCATTATTTATTCCTTGGAACGAGCCGCCCTTTCTGTCTCAGACATCATTCCAAAAAAGTTCGGTTTGGATAGTTGATTAGCATCGTGGCCAGGAGTTCCCTTCCTTGTTTCTGAAGCGAGTGGTCACAACACGAGCAATAATGCGTTTTCAAATTAGCCAATGGTTCCAAATTCCGTTTTTTTTTGCCTTCTGTCTTCCGTGGTCTTCTGTTTCTCCGAGACTTTGTTAGACATCGTCATCATCACTATCTTTTTCGTTTCCTTCCGTTTTTCTAGGTTCTTTTTTCTCTTGTTTTTCATGAGCTTCTTTGGTCTTTGACATGTTCACAGACAGGAAAAAAAACGAGAAAAAACCAAACAGTGGTATGCACACCGCATTAATACTCGTTCTAGAGAGGAAAAGGGTCTAGGAGAGAAGAAGAAGAAGAAGAAATTATGATGGTCCCCTTTTTTCTGAAGCCAAAAACAACGAGATTTACTTCATGATCAATGTGTGTTTCTTTTTTTTCACTAGTTTTTAGGGGGCGGTTTCTTTTAAGAAGCATCCTTGGTAAAATATTAACCTGGATTCCAAAACTGTGGTAAACAGGAAGAAACAGAAAATAGTAGTTTTAGAATTTATGATTATGGGGTTGTCTGTGAAACAACCAAAACTTATTTTGCCTTATTTTGAGCACAAGAGAAAAGTTAGATACTCTTTCCAGTCTCAACATTAGCTTTTGAGTATCAATAAACAACAAAGCCCGGAAAAAAACTGTAGACTTTCCTCTAAAATTGTTATCAGAGTTTCAGTATGAACAATAATATCCAAAATCTTACTGTAGATTTCCCTTTAGACACTTTCCGTGAACATTCTAATAGAACGCCACCCGAATCGTCAAGTTTGAGCCCACGTCCACTTATCTCATTTTTTATGAAAGAAATCAAAAAGTGGTTAACTAATAAAATGTTGCTGATATCATGATAAACATTTTATTAGTTGCCAACTTTTTGATATCTTTCAAAAAGGCCTTTGTGGCATTGTATTAGAGTGTTTACGGTATCTGGTATTTGAAATCTTATTTTCTGTTGTTCTATTTCAATTTTTTTCCAATTTTTTCACTATACCTTATTTTCTGTTCCCCACAACTTGGTAACCGAAAAAAACATGCAAAAAGTACGAATGAATATATTTTGACAACTCTAAAAACGTTTATTTTCTCCTTCCAGCAGCGTGTTTTTGTGTGTTTTCCATTTTGAAGAACTTCCCCCCTCAAAAATGTTCTAGACAATTCTTCTATTTCTAGTTGTTCTTTTGAGTTGTTCTTCAGAAAACTTTCCATAGTTCAAATATCAACATTTAATTGGTTTTCTGTAATTGCTCTGCCATTTAAATAGGTTTCAATTGTAGTCAAAGTGCACAAGTATGCATTTTATTTTCAGTCTTAAAACTTTTTTTTGAGCAAAACTGAGAACGCTTCGCTAAACCAGAATTCTTGGAATTTCCAGCCATTTTGGCGTTCTCTTCAACTTCTCAAAAAAGACAATTGCGGCTCTAATTTTCCAACTGATTCAATTCTTACAGCTGACTTCTCCCTTTCTGAAAATTCACCAACAATTTCAGCGCCCAAAATCCTAGACAAAAGGTGTTAGTGTCTTCTTTAGTCTTTTCGAAGTATTTGTCACAAAGCGAAAAAAGCAAAAAGCAACTTCCTCGTTCCTTTTTTTGACATAGTCATCGGGGTTGACGATGTTTTCGGAACCTTTGTGCAAAATTTCATGGAGCCGGCTATCTTTCTTTTTTGCTTTATATTGCTCTACGTTCCCCTATTTTTTTAACTTTGTTCGTTTGGATTTTTTTGAAGGATTTTGAATTTTCATTTACAACTCACGTTTTAAAATTTTTTATGGCAAAATCGTGACCTATATATCTCTGATAATTATCACATGTCCCGCCCCAAAACAGCTCTGGGTACCAGGAAAAGAAAACCTATTATTATCGCTGTTGAAAACCTTGACAAGGTATGTCATTCAATTTCCTCTCCGAATACCCAGAATAGAATTTATTGAATCAGCAAAAAAAAAGAGAAATGTTCCCAATTTTTTTTCTCTTTGTGTTCAGAAACCCATTTCCTTTGTTACCACTTCTCTGTTCAACGCCTCCTGATTTTTTCTCTTATTAATTTTTGGTTCTTTGTTCTGAACAAAACAGCGTTCGTCATTTTCTGCTTCGTTTCCCAGGGAAGGATCCCATTATTGTTAACGAACAGTCATCCGGAATGTTTTTGTTACAAAAACAAGTGGTTCTCTCATAGTCTGGATTTCCAGGCGAATTTCAAGAATTCATTTCCATCTAATTTTCATTTTCTGACAATGAAGCTCGTTCCCAAGAACCGGTGTCTTTGTTTGGTTGTTATACGAATCTATGTGCGTTAAAATGTTTTCAACGTCTTCTGAGTCAGTTTGTTGTTTTTATTTATTCTCAAACAATAATATTTCCAAGCAGAACAGAAATATACATTTTTCTTATTTTCAAAGTTTCCGAGCTTTTTCAGGAATAGCATTTTCATGTTCAGTTATATTTTAACGGCCAAATTCCTTAACTCAGACTTTTCCGACCTACAGTACCAGTCAAAATTTCACTAATTTTACTTATTTCGAAAATTGCCAATTTTGGATGTCGAAAAAATGATTGAGATTTTGTTGGATAAGACTGAAAATTTCCATATCTATTGAACGAAAATAGAGCTTTATTTCTATAGTTGACATTTTTTGGTACAAATTCATACTAATGAGATATTCCACAAAATCATAAAAGTATCAAAAATTCCAAAAGAGAGAATTCGTACAAAATAGTTGTCAACTACAAAATTGAAATTCTATTTTTGTTCAGTAGATTTGGAAATTTTCACTCTCACCTAACAAAACGTCCTATTCTTTTTAGAAATTCAAACTTAATCATCATTGACTAGAAAACATCTATCAGTTCCTTCTTAATCAGTTAGAAACTAAATCGTAGATATTACAGAGTTGTTTTGCCGGTATTCCTCATTTGACTTTTTTCAATGCATATCTTAGTCCCAATATTCTTCGCTTCACTTGATTTTCCATGCATTTCTCATCCATGGACACTCATCCATTGTTATTCACAACTTATTCTTCTAGTTATCATTTTTTGCAGACTCGTTTTTCCCGACACGACAACGTATAAATTATAAAAAGTCTGGGTGCTGACTAATGGGTGCACACTGAAGAATAGAAACGGTGAAATGAATGAAGACAATCACGAATCGTCATCGAGCGGATGTGATAATCAAATGTGGGTTTAACTCTTTTTTTTCACACTTATTGAATTCCCTGAATTTCAAAAACAAGGCCAGCCAATCAAATCAAGAGAAAGTCAACCAGAGATCTGTTCGATTCAATTCCCATTTTTCAGCGAGTTCCTTGTCTCCGAAGCCGAGCGGCGACGTCGAGTGAATCAACGCGAAACCGAAGTACACGAGCTTGGCTACGACCCTTTCTCGTACTGTGGTCGGAGGGTTCATGTTTTGGTGAGTGGAACACACATTGATCATAGACCGCCATAAAAAAATAACAGAGCAAGGGGGTCCGGCGAAAAATTGTACATCTCGAGAAATAAGAAGCGAGGAGATGATGCTTTTAGAAGTGATGATTGTTTATGTTTACCATTGTGTTTTGCAGCTACTCACCAAGTTGATTAGCGTGTTGACGATACCCTTCTACATCGCCATCGTCATCTTCATCTCTTTTTTTGGCAACGCCACATCCGTCATGTTTTCTGTGATAATATTAGGTAGGCTGAAGAAGAAGAAGGGGTTATTGAAAATTTGAAATTTCGCCTAGAACTACCTTTTTTGCAAATTACAAGACTCAAACTTGTTTTATCTTCTAACTATTTGAATAAAGGTCAATTTGTTCAGTTAGAACTTAAAATTGAGTCTTTTCAGACAAAATATCCTATAATTCAAAGAAATTCGAATTTGTATATTCCGGTACTGTATTTACCAGTTTCTAACTTGTTTTGAAATAACCACCTCTTGGAGTTGAATCAGACAAAATTTCTAGCTTATTCTCAACCCGAATTCCTTCCAGGTTCGGTAGTGATGTCAACATGCTACGGAGCGTTTCGAGGTGCCAAAATGTGTCTGATTCCTTTTGTGATACTACAAGTAAGTTTTTTAATCTACTCGATCCCTCTATAAAATTCCCTGAATTCAGCTTGTGTTCCTTATCTACGACTTAATATTGATAGCAATATTGTTAGTGGCTGTTGTCTTCCCAAAGATGTTTCTTTCGGCGCTGCTCAGGTTACCGCTGGAAGATATTCCATTTGGGACTGATCAAGGTGAGTTGTTGAATACTTCAAAATGGGAATGTAGTTCTACTTTTTCAGTACTCCTCGGATGCAGTCTACTTTTAGCTTTGCTTCTTGCCCCATTAGTTTGGACGACTCACGTCGTCTATATCGATTTTTTGTTTATCTCGCAGGTCGACGAGACCTTGCACATGTTGAAAGAGGTAAACGCGATCACTTCCGGCTCACCGCTTCACACACTCACCCACTTTTCAGGCCAACCAAAAAGTTTCGCAAGATGATGTGTCCCCTAACCGTATGATGTTTTAGTAGAGCGAGATTTCACAAAAAGATCACTCACATTTTTGCCGGGTGTCGTCGTCGCCTCTTCCTTCTTGGTGCTTCTTTTTCATTATTTCATTTTGTTCTTTTTTTGTTTTTTTGTCCTAATTGCTGATCATTTTTTTCGTGATCTTCAAGCTCTGTGTTAGTTTGCACTTAGACACGTCTTCGTTATTTTTTTCTGATTTTTTTCCATTTTCGGGTTCCATTCCTTGTCTTCACGAGTGACTAGCATGTTGCTGTTTCAAAACGATACTTGTCTGCTTTTTCTTGTACTTCCTTCCCGGCCAAATTCAATAAATCATAAGTTTTTAAAATTTTTTTTCATCACAAATTGTGATAAAACGTAATAAAAGAACAAAGTATTTAAAAAGCAACTCCTCTGGAATTAAATCAATCACTTACAAAAGCAAGATATGATCATTGGTCCATTAATCACAGTTTGGATCAGGTCTATAAGGCAAAATATAGCGTAAAATCACTAGTAAATGGTAAAGAGGACTAGAAAAAATGACTGGAATGCATGCGAAATTTGACTAGAAAGTTTTGAGCATAACCCGTACCAAGGAAATAAACAAAAATAATTAATTCTAAACAAGTTGGTATAGTTATTCGCCAAATGCTGGTGGTACTGCCCAATCTGGGTTATATCCAGGCACTTTCGTTTTGTCAGGGACCAGATAGATGCGTACTCCATTGATGAAGCATGTGACGATTCCGTCAAACGCAGTTCGAGGGACTCCAGCCTTGAAATCGTGCATTACGTGGAGTTTGTCAGCCTTGCGGATGTAATCGACGTTCTCGTCGTAGATAATTCTGAAAATTTGATGTTTTCTGAGAATTTCAGCCAGTCACAACTCTCAGATTTTCCTTTCCCTATTCAAAAAAGTCCCAAATATGACTCATGGTACACCAACAACAAACCTGACACTTTTCCCTTTGTTCTCGGGCAGTAACACAAAAGCAGCCACATCGTCTATTCCCATTTCAACAGCCTGTTTCATCACTTCAAAATGTGTCTTCTTTTCAAAATTGCCCTGGAAACAAGAATAGAAAATTAGTGAAAAAAAAACACAGGGACCGACACACCGGTAGCAGATAATCCAGATTAATCTTTGCGAAATCTGTGTACTTGTCATTCACTTTGATTTTGGCGAGGTGTTTGCTGAAGAATTGTCCTCTGAAAAAATGATAATGTGAAACAATAGAGCACATGAGTTTACGTACTTGCTGGCCCCTTCTTTTCCATACGCCATCATTCCAGTACGACTGACTTCCGGTCGAATGCATTGTCGGTCTTTGCGGCGAAGTGGGTCTCTCATCCAGTCATCCCAGAATCCGACAGGCCAGATTGGTTCCAGTTCGTGCCATGTTTTTCTGAAAAAATAGCGAAATTTAGATATGAGGGGGTGAGAAATAGCAAATTTTAGATATGACAGAAATTTTAGATGTATAATTTCAGATATCACTAAAGAACGAGGCATCAATTTTTCCAAAACGTTTGCCACATCGTTTTTGTCAATATTTCAGCTGGATTTACGTTTTCTAGCTGACAATGAGGCTGTGCCACTGCCGATTGAAGAATTTTGATTAAAGTACTTCTTGGATTGGTTGGAAAAGGCGGCCTAGTGCCTAAGTAGTTTCTGGGATGATTCAACAAATAGCTGATTGGTCCACGACAGCCCACCCACGGCCGGACGCTGTCGCGATTTGCAGAGCTATGGCTGGTAGAATAGAATTGAGAGTGTGCTAGACGACATGAGGAAGGAATGGTATCTCTGATCAGAAATAGGTGTTCCCTTCGTTTTTTTGAGCTATGAATTTATTGTCAACCATAAGATACTCTGACTACCATTTAGTTTGAATATATTCATGAAAAGCTCACGATGACATCATCCATCCTAGCCCAGCAAAGAAATCACTTCTATACAGTTTATCCGCTGCATTCACATCAATATTCTCGAGCTGAAATTCACAGATTTGCTTCTAGAAAATTTTCTTTATGCTCCCACTTTTCCATTGTCATTCCACGCTGTCACACACCACAATCTCTCATCATTCTCCAGCAAGTATCTTGTATTTGAAAAGTACGAAAAGAAATCCGGCGCAATGTCGAGATCGTCTGAAAAAATTGTCATCCTTTTCCACAAGATCAAATAATCGAAGTACCTTCAGTGATGATAACCGACGAGTAACCCTTATCAACGAAAACATGATTAAGAGCCAATTTATAGTGACGTGCGATGCGATAGTAGGCTGTGAATTGGCGGTGACTTGGTGGAATGGTGATATTTGCTTTGTCTCCTGCCAGATGCTGAAAACATTCGAGAATTTTCAGAATGGACCATTTTCTTTCATCGTTCTACTGTACCTTGATATATTGAACTTGGTCTCCGAATTTTTGCACTTCAATTTTCACATTCTCATTATCACAATCTTGAGTCACAATAATTGGAAATTGTTCTTTACTTGGGCGATATCTGAAAATGAGACTAGTTGAAAGACGAAATCTTTGAGGATTATCTCACTTGATGAGCTTCTGCACATGATCCCTTACTGCCTGCGCGCGATTACAAGAGAAGACCTGCAAGATATCGATTTTTTGGTGGGGAATAAGAGAATATGGACCAACCAAAACAGGAATTGGTTCTTTCCAGTGTTTCAATTCCGGAGAAACCTGAAATGTGTGAGTAGAAAAAGCTGAATGGTCTTGGAAAAGGTAGAAAATCTAAATTTCGACGGATTTTCTGTTTAAAATCGCCGCTTCGCTCGAAACTATGCCATTTTTCGAAAATTTAACAACCAATATACCATCTCTTCCATCGTCAAGTGCCCGGATTTCTTTCTTGCACGAATCTGCTTAACATCTTCCGTCAACTCTTGGATTTTCTTCCTTTCAAACTCCAATAACCTCTCCAATCGTGTCGCCGACTCTAGCAAATCATCGATATTATCCGAATTTCGAGACCTCTGCAACACAAAATGCCGTTTTCTCATGATTTTGTGATGTAATCAACTCACACTGGTTATTTCATTTTCTACGTATAGCGTCCACACTAGAAACACGAATAAAAATCCAAAGAATAGCTTTATTGTTACCGCTTGCATGATGTTGCGGGGAAATATGTACACATCCGCTCTGTAAAAACATTATTTTTCATTTTTATAAAATATTTTTCAAAAAAAAGTTGAGAAAAAACATGAAAAACGAGGAAAATCGGTTAAAAACCACTGTTTGACGTGGTTTCCACGCCGCTACTCCACCCACCCGCAACGCGCCGCACGGTGATTGGCAAGTGCGCCGCATGGTTGTAGGATTTCTTGTTTTTTAGGGAATGCGTTGGTTTTCGAAGTTTAATCAGCTGGAATTGGATGTTTAGAAAAATATTTTTTTGTAGACATACATTTTCAAAGATTTCGAATTGAATAGTTACAGTTTCAAAATTGTTGATCACCTCAAAAAGGGTGAAATTTGAGGATTCAATTTTTTTCTCAGGATTTTCTTTACATATTTTGATTTTATTATCCACAAGTTTCTATTTCTTTATCGATTTCTGTCAAATACTAATGTGTTGCATAAAAAAAAGGGAATTCTACCAGCGCGCCTCGCATTTGCCAAACACCGTGCGGTGCGTTGCGGTGGGCGGAGTTGTGAGGTTCGCGACGGTTTCCAACCGATTTTTTCCTGTTTATTCACATTTTTTCTCACATTTTTTAGAAATATTTCAAATAAAAATGAAAAAAAATTGTTTTGCAGATAAAACGTGTAGGTATTTCCTAGCTACATACTTGTAGTCCGGGCGTTCGCGGGTCCTGCCATAATTTCTTTCAGAATCAATATTTACTAACCAACTAAACCAGATATGATAGAGCTCCACAAGTACTACAAAACGATATTATTTGGAATACTGTATCTTATTTATGAACAAAGTTACAGATCATAAAGTGCCTTTTCTCGCAGGGCCCGGCAGGCCCGGGTCGGGCCTGCTTTTTTTTGTTTTTTTTTTTGCTGTAACTCTGTTCATAAACAAGATATAGTATTCCAAATAATACCGTTTTTTAGTACTCGTGAAGCTCTATCATATCTAATTTAGTTGGTTCGAAAATATTGATTCTGAAAGAAACGGCAGGGCCCGCGAAAGCCCGGAAAAAGCCCGGATTACAAGTATGCCTAGCAATATCCCGTCCATAGTTACAGAAAACTGAGGTTTCAGCTGAAAAAACCTATTTTCTAGCGGAAAGTAAGCTGAAACCAGATTTTGCGAATGCACCCAGATACATTCAACTCTCGTGTCTCTTCGAGTTTTCATGTGAAAGCTATTTCAGGTTTTTACAGAGTTTCAATGTTAGAACGACTTCATTTATCGAGCTGTTTGACAATTTTATCCTACTTTTTCTTTTAAAAAATCAGCTTTGTGTAATCGGACTCATGGAATGAAGAATTATGTCTTGACAGCTTTCACATAAGTTCATTCCAAGTTGTTGTTGTTTTTTTTTACAAACGATTTCATTTCAGACGTAGCCCAATTCCCCGAAACAAATTGGATCATCACTGAGTCTTCTTGTCGCATACGATACAGCGATGTGTGACCATATCGAAGAACAATCGAAGAAACTTTTGAACAGAAGAGAGTTGTGAGGCACTAATTTTACAGATTGTGCAACCAGAACAGCAATCAGGACTCCGTTGTTTCGAAGCGCACTCGTTTCGCTGAGAAGTTTGGCGCAAAAGTCTTCGATCAACCATATTCATCAATTCTCGAATTTTTTACTGAGTGGTTAGTAAGGCTGACGATGCCTAATGATACTCTCCGCCAAAATGTGTTTGTTTCAGGTTCATCTGAATAATGTGGTGGTGGGATCAACAAATGGAGAAAAGTCATGCATCGTTACGTCATGGTTCCGGCCCATAGTAGAAATGAAATAACATAGAAACACTTTCCTGCGATCGAATGAAGGAAATTCAATTTCCGATCTACACTGTTTGATTCATGAAAACAGAAATGGAGTTTTCATACGCGATGAAAGAAATACAGTCGGTGATCATCAGTAAAGCAATCTAAAATCGGCAAAATAGATCGATTTGCAAAATTCCATCTCAGCAACAGCATTCGTTGATATTGATGTATTGTTCTCATGGAGCATTCAATTTTTAAAACTGTGTATTGTGAAGTATACATTCAATCGAACTGCAGGAACGTTCTTGAATTGCAAATGATTTCTTGAAAATAGACGGGGAAAAACTTTCTTGCTCCAACTAGGGTTTGATGATCCTGAAACGAAGGAATTCTGGCGGAGAGTATCATTAGTCATTTTCATTAGCACTAACCGCTTGATATAGCATTTTGAAGTGAATCAATTCGTTTCCATTACCGTAATTCTTCGGAAAAACAGGTCGAGGAAGTTATGGAAACAAACAATGTCCGCTGGAGATTATTTGGGCAGTCATGTTGATTGGACCCGTGCTCTGGAAGATATAACCATTAATCAAGCGAAAAATGTTGTCCTTGCAAGGTCTAACAAATTTCATGGTACTCAGATAATTCTCCTGGATTCTCATTCAACCTAAAACTCTTCATTGAAAAAAACTTACAAAGTCGTTATACATCATATTCCTGGAAAGAAAACTGCACTAGCATCATTGTCGCAGCCTTCTTGCTTCAAAATCCTCGAATCGCTGACTTATGATTTTCCGTTACTCAAAACATCTTTCTATCCTTATTTGATACATTCACACATTACTGACTCTTATCATTCTCTAACCGAAACATGGTGAATTGAACATTAGGCAAGAAGACTCGACGATGTCTGGACCAGTTCCGGCGCTTCTTTCGAGACTGGAGATGAACTCACTCCACATTCTTCTTGGCATCATCTTGGATTCCATCTACTTTCTACTTGAAAATGCATCTTCATAGACTTTCCGAGAAACATGAAGATTTACTGACCAAACAAGACAAGAATAGGAGTCCATCCGGTATTTTAATTGTAGAAAAATCTTAAAATTGATTTTATACACATATTTTGCAAAAAAAAGAGAAAAAAGCGTGAAAAACGAGAAAAAACCGTTGAAAATAGTTGTTCATTGATATGGCGACGCCCAGACTCCGCCCACCGCAACGCGCCGCACGGTGGTTCGCAAGTGCGCGCGCGTTCCAGTATTGGTTTTTTGCGGGTGTTTTTCTTGTGTTTGGGTTTGTCGTTCGGGTGTTTTCATTCTTTTTTCGCTTTCTTAATGCTTTTTTTGGTAGATTCACGTTGTCGGGCATGTTAAACGGGTAAATAACGTTTTTATCACTGGAATTTGCATGAAGATTGCTAATTTGAGCTCAAAAAACATTTTTTTTGGATTTTTTCTGACTTTACACGTTTTTTTACAATCGCAATCGACAAATCTCAACTCTCTCTCTCTTTCTTTAGATAGCTAAATTTTCTTTGCTGACTTATCCTTTTCTCCACAAATCAGGAAATGAGTGTATTGGGTGACAGTCGCCTGTTTTCTGCGGACCTCGTCGATCAATAATGCACGTATCTAAACGAGTATTGCTAATTACCCCTTGTTTTCTTTTCTTTTCTCTTCTTATTTTTTTTTCTCTCATAAAATGTTCAATTTTGCAGGAAAGTTCAAGCAACCATGGGTAGGAAATCGAGAGCAAAAATGAACAGGAATCAGAAAACAAAGTGAGTTTTGTTCTTTTAGTGAAATTATGCGAATATTGGCACTGTTTGAACGACCGTGGCAAAATTAAAAGTCAAATGGTCAAAATCTGACTTTGAAATTTTGAAAAATCGATATCTTGAGTAAGGGTTGATCCGCAACTTTTGATGAAAAACTGCAGCCATCTAAAACATTCAGCAAATTTTAATTTTTCAGGCCACCAGAACCGACGGTTGTCGAGGAGATGCCTCAGGAAGTGGAGGAGTCAACAAGCAAACAAATCGAACTCAAAAAAGATGTAGATATCAAAAACACTACATTCGACAGCATTGAAGGAGTTCTGAGATGGGTTGATAGTCATCACAGAGCTGGCCAAGAAAAGCTAGTGGAAGAAGGAGGAAAAGCTTTGGAGGAGCACATCATTATGAAATGCAGAACTGAATTGAACAGAAAGTATCAGGCGTGAGTTCAGCACTTACAAAACTCAATATTCTAGTTTTTGTTTTGCAGAGTTTTCGACACTATAACGGCGCTTGGCAACGACCCAGCATCGGGGAAATATTCTGAACTGGACGACATGAAGATCGTGAGAGAGGAGTTGAAGTCTATGGGAATGGCCGATGAGAGTGAGAACAAAGCGTGAGTTCTGATGATTTTCAATGTTAATTGAAAGATGATGTTTAGAACTTCTTCGTCAGCAGCTAAAGCCCCTAAGAAGACTGCCAACCCAACGACTAAAAATAACGGCGTCATACAGAAGGACATATATGCATGGATGGATGAAAAGTTAAGGTGAGTATTTTGCCCGGTCAAAGTTATAGCTGTCGGCGACCTCGCTGGAGATCAGCAACCATCAGCAGAAGGCAAAGTGTTGCTGCTTCGCTTTGATAGCGTTTCCGAGCCATTCCTCATGGAATATTTTCAGAGTTCCTCCTGATACTCCGCTTGTGACACAGTTCGAAGATGTCTCCTTTGGACAGAAAGAAATCAGAATCAATAACAAAACCTATTCAGTGGGAGTGAGTCGTATATGGAACGATGGACGGACCCCCGGCTACGTTCGAAGAATCAATCGCTACAACGGGCTCACTTACGATTTGGATCAGTTTGGTGTGCCGAAGCCTCGAACAGCCAAATACCCTGGTGAAATTACTATTGGAACTGGAGATGGAACTGGCGGTAGTCTCTTCTACGGCGTGCGTTACGATTACAAAAATTGTTGGTTAGAAGAGAAGGAATCGCTTAGGGAAAAAGTCGAATCTCGTCATGAGTCTATTTTACGCCACAAGAAAGTTTGCAAGACATGCAGAGAAAAAAAGCAAGCAGATGATTCCGAGGATGAAGTGGAGCTGAGTCACGATGAGCAAGTTGATGAGAATACAAAAAACTGTCGGAAATTCGCCGAAGACTTCAAGTACTTGGAAAGGGAGATCATGATATTTCAGTGCATGATTTGTAGAGCAGAAAATATGAAGCCACCTTTCAAAATGTATCTGGAAATAACAATCATCACAGAAGACAGCGAGGTGGATGAAATCTTTCGCTTTGAATACAACACCTCCGTGGATCGGGTGTTCCAGTATCTCGTCTACACCCTCTTCCAATTCCCGGACCCGACAACATTTTATATAAAGCGATTGGGATTGAACAACTCGAATCTTCAAATGTTCTTCCCTCCGGAATGCAAGCTAGTATACAAAGAGCTGATCGTTGTCGGCAATCTCTTTGACGCTTTTCTAGCACTCAACCCCATCACTGACGATAGTCCGTTAGCCCCAATAAGATATTTGGAGCACCATGGAGTGGATTGGTTCGATGACAGTTTCAACCGTCACCCACAAGCTCGACTAGCGAATGCTCTTGTCATTTCGAATTATGAGTCATGCGCGTTCCTCCCGCCCCGGTATTTTCCACGAAACAAAAAAATCGTGGTTGAATTCTTGGATGGAACTGTGGATATTGAACGTTTCAAAACCTATGTGGGTTTCATGAGAAGTGATTCGATGCCAAAAGGATCGAAACACATCTTCAATATGAAAAAACAGTCAATAGTTCTTCGTGTGCTCAGGGAGATCAAGAAAATGGAATTCCCAAAGTGTTATTTAACAGAAAATGGGTAAGTAACTTTGCTTTTTTTTTTAATTTAACTATTTTTTTGATTTTTTCAGAGTCGCGTCTTTCAAAATGGATGACAGCAAACGATTGTTGGTTTATTATGTGGCTACCAAATATCCCGGTATGATCGACTATCAACTCGTATATGAAGTCGACGAGTGTGCCTGGGTCTAATTAAAGTGTGATTGTTTAAAATGGCGCCTGCCAAATTGATATATTAATTATGGTATACTATTTTTATATTTTATTTGTTTCTCCAAAAATAATATGTGTCTCTCCCTTTGTTTCCTTCCAGATCTCAAATATTTTTTTTTCTTATAAAAATTTGTCAAATGTCCCATAATAGAAAAGTTCATTACAACGCTTCAAAAAAAAAAACTCATAAGCTATGTACCACTGAAAACAAGGTTTCTAGTCGTCAGAAGTACTAAAATGAGAAGATACATGAAAAGGATTCAACACTCTAATTATGGAATGGGTTCACTGAGAACTGTTCATATTAAGATTGAGATGCTGGCGGATTGTAGCGTGTCTGAAACAAAAAAAAAATTGAAAAGTTCACAATTTTAAGCTCACTCTGTCGGTTGCTTTGGTAGTGGAATTCTCTTGATGGGCGTTTTGAAAACAGTGTCTGTGTTGCGACTACAGTTATGGGTAACAATCATTTGGATTTCGAAATTTCGCTGCAAAATCCGAATCCGTTTTTATTAAATAATCAATTATTTTCCTCTTACATCCAATATTCCATCATTCTCATCAGTTCCTGCGATGTCATAAGTTTTTGTTGTCTCATCGGAACAGAAATCGTCCGAAGCAATGCTATCATCGATTCTGAAAATCAAACCAGCAATGAAATCGAATGATAAAAGCCATTGATCAACTCACAAAGTGTCCACCTCAATCACCCGAATCCTGACACACCATCGGTGTTCACTTTTACAGTAAACAGTACCCGAAAAGCGGAATTTGTTCTCATAACAATATCTTCCAAGTACCAGAAAAGAAAATAAAAGAAAAATTGAAAGTCTCATTTCAGATAGAAAACTTAAAGTGTGTGTATGAGTAACACACGAGAAAATTTTCTTACTACTCGATACGATCTAATTCAAAAAAAAAAATGAAGAAAACTTGTTTTCAAGATGCTATGACCCGGGTGACCATGACCGTCAGTAGCCGCCGTCGGGAGATCAAAAATTGCGAACCACTATAAAAAGAAAAAGAGATAGGACGGAGAAGGCATCGTGTGACTACTGTTTAGAAATTGAGAGAAAGATCATATTGAAGTAAATTAAGAAGATGACGAAAAGATAAACTTTTTTCAGATTTATTGTACTGCTAGTCAAGGCCATTTAGACGTTTCTCATCTTTAGAACATTTTGTTTGGAACTTTGCAAACGAGAAAAGATTTTCTTGAAATAAAATCTCACACACTTATAATGAGAACGATTCGAAAGTTAGTGAGAAGTTGAGACCGTTGTTGGAACGTTAGGACCATGATAAGAGCATTAGGAAGTTGTTGCGAAAGGCTAAAATTTTCAGACAAACCAAAACTTCGTTTTCAGGTCTTCACTGTTCCACCGGAAACTCAAAAATAGAGCTATCGCCCGGAACCATCAGTTATATCGATTCTCAGAAAAGATATAAAAACGTGTTAACTGTTAAAGTTTTTATCATAAGATCTCCAATTTTTTTATTTTGCAGATTTTTGACATATCTGAGAGAAACCGGGAAAACCGAGCTCAAAAAGAAAGTCGAAAGTGGCGTATCACAGTTTTGACGGTTTTTTTTGTCTAGTACTGTATTTAAAGTTTGCAGAGACTACTTTGGAAATTACTAGAATTATTTTTCTCACCATTTTGTTATTTATCATTGTCCAGTTTACCCATTTCTTTGGAGCCAAGGGATTGCTGTATTCCTCGTCTCTCAGAATTATATTTTCCTTTCCGATTTTGATCTCACTTCCTCATGAATCCAGTAACCTGACTTCCTGGTTCCTACCACCTACCTCTCGTTTTCAGTGTATCTCTCGATAGGTAAAAAACAAACGTACAATTACTGTAGTCCCATAAAATTTCTGTGTGGGATAATCGGTGATATACATCACAAGAGCTCCAGATTTTGTGCTCGAGGTCACATGTGATGGGCGGGGCTTAGTCCCAAGAATGGTTCAAATGATTTTCCTTATTTTCGTTTATTTTCCATTTTGCAAAATCCTTAAGCGAGTCATCTTGTCTAAGATGGGCTTGCTGTCAGGAAAAGGGTTTTTTGTCACTGGTCTCTGTCTATTGGGTTGTGTGACGGTTTTTCTAAATGGAAAAGGTATGCGATCAATTCGTTTTTATTTGTGAATTTATCTTTCAAAACTTCGATTCTAGAAGCCGCCCCGCATTATTGGAGATACATCATGGGTACCGAAACCGAGGCAGCCACCCAGGACACATTTCAAGCAATGAAGCGATCCATGTTGGTCGGAATGAACCCAAAAACCGAAGAAGTGTGCCAAGTATCGATACTGAAAGAGCATACGCCTCAGATTGGCCATAGTAAGATTAATTCGAAAAGATTCCTAATAACCTGAGCTTTTGCAGTTCTAAATAGAAGTCTTGTCCAGATACTCCAGAATCGGGAAACTCGCTTCGTAAGCTGTACAGACAAGATGCGCCCAAGTTGTCATGGAATCGACGAAAAGTGATTTAGAACTGGCTCAAGGCTCATGGCTCAAACTCATTTATTGTGCACAATGTTTAAAACACAATGAATATCGTTTCCAGATACACCAGTGAGTGCGTGCCTGTCTTCAAGTCAGCTCCAGCCATGGTACGCCTCTTCAACAGCCGTGGACCATACACCATGGAAATTATCAGAGTGACTACACTCCAGAAATCAGTTTCTAAAATAACCAAATATCTGCAGGTCCCGATTTTCTGCGAGTGCCGCTTGCGTCGCCAGTATCGCGATTTCGAACGTCCGGAAAAATAAGAGGAGGATGAAAACGATGACTTGAAGTAATCTACAGAGCGTTTGATAGTTTTCCATTTACCATTTCTGTCGAATTTCTGGAAAAAAATTGAAAATCTTTTCTCAACAATAATTAATTGTCTCATTGTGTCTCCAGATGTTCTCACTGTGGTCATAAGGTTGTTCTTTATAAGTGTGTTCTCCCAAAATTTTCTCATCCCTTGAAATCTTATTGTTGATGTGTTCTCAAAACTTTCAATAAAAGATGTGTAATAACGTTTGGCATTTTTGGTAATTTGAGGACACAAACATCTCATTCGAATAGAATTTTCGAAAAAGTGTTCAATTACAAAAATGAATCTCATATTTATGTTTATTACATTATGGAATTATCAGATAATTCATATAACTCAGAATCATTTTTAATAAACCCAAAGCTAACTATTTGTCCTTGAAAATGTCGAAATGTTTTTTAAGGGTTGTACGATCATATTTTTGTTTTTACGATAATAACTGGAAAATTATAAGAGGGAATCTGAAAATCAGAATCTTGATAACTTCAAAATAAATAAATCCAATTCTCAAACTGACATATTCAATTATACCAAAAGTTCAAAGCCAATACCGACCCCTGACTGTTACACTATTCCATCTTATTGGTAAATGTGTTGATTCCAACACCTATACCACGCCAACGTAGTACACCAACAACAATTGATAGTGGACCTTTATGTCAACGGAAGTGGTATATAGGAAAGCTATGCGCGGAGCAACAACTGGTCGCCTCCAGGCGAGAAGCGGTCTGAATAATTGCGACGAATGAGAGCGGAAGAGCCACTGGTCAAGTGGCCATCATACGCCACAAAGAGGTGTAACGGGACCGGCGTAGGGGGGGGGGA